AAAAACGGCGTATAGACATCGCCACTAATCTTTGTTGTCGCCCTTTCTAAGAAACGGACAGTTGTCAATGTAAACAAATATTTGTCATTCAGTTTAACTCTCCGATTAACTTACAAAACAAGATAACACAAAATGAAGATGAAAAAATGTTGTTTTATTGATGTTTATATTGATAAATGCTCTTTATATTTCTTTGAGAGAAAAGTGTTTAGTTCCTGATTTTTTTTATAAACTACAGTAGTGTGCTTGAAAAAAAAACGATTCTTGTCACTGGTCTTTCTGAAATCATTCTAGGAATGTCTGAGGGTCCTGTTTGTCTTGGGTAGAGTATTTTAATATGTTTTTTTCTTGAGTTATTAAATCTCCAATGTTAAGCTATGTTAAATCAATTAAAATTGGAAATTTCGTTCTGTTCTGGGCAGTTGTTGGCCTCGGAAAAATAAAACATGTAAAATTGGATAAATACCGTCAAAGCACAAGGATTTAATGTATGTATTTTGTATTAAATATACATCATGGATCTGTTTTAAAATTTTATGCTATAAAAGCGTCAACGTACATTTATTTCGAGTTATAAAGTCTGCAGAGTCCCTCGGAACTGTTGAAGCCAACCATTCCTAGGGACTCTGCAGACGTTATAACACGGAAAAATGTGCGTTAACCCTATATATTTCCACACATCAAACAATTCGTATAAGCGACCATCAGCATTTATTTTCTGTTGGAAAAACAATACTGGTACCTCATATTTCCGTGGTACTTAACTGTTGAACACAACAAAAGTTTAAAGGATAAAATTCTGGAAAACTCAATGAATATTGTAGGACAGACATGTTAATTGCATCATAGTTTATTCGATTTAATGTTTGCATGTAAGCAATTATGAATACAACATTGTAATAAACACTCATCTGCTGCCAAGTGAGTAAATTTGTGTATATAATACAATAAAATAGTAAAAGTAAAACTACTGGCAGGTTCATTAAGTTAAGGAGGCACTTTAGACTGTTTAAACCATATACCTTGGACATATGGGTACCACGGAAATATGAGGCACCTGTATATTTTTGTTTCAAACTAAGTATTTCAGTAACTTAATCTTGGGCAAGTGCATTATATCACTATAGAGAACAGAGGTATAAAGAGATTAACGGCGGCGAATTTCTTTTACCACAGTGACCTTAATTCTTTTGGTTTCACAATTACATGAAACGATTTATCTAAGAATAACATATTTAACCTTAAGAAAAGATGAATGCTGCTTTAAATAAGCTCAATGTAACAGCAAAATTAATGATACGTGTTTGTTTAAGAATGTAGCATTTCAGCCAAAAATAAGACCCAACCTTAAACAATTTCCATCAGATATTGCATATTTGTTATCTATTTGTTATCTATTATATATCTGTTGCTTCAGGAAAAACTGCCCTCAAAAGAAATCGAAGTTAAGAATGCTTATAATGTAAAGTATTGAAATCATGTGAGTTTTAACTTACTCTACGCAAATATGGTCATTAAAAGTAACACATTATTACATTGTAATACACAAGCATGCTTTATTTAATCTAAAACACTTAAACAAAAGTTCATAACATTAAAAAAGTCGCAACACTATATAATCTTTACAGTATCATTCAGACTGGTATTAAACATTAAACTACCTATTAATGATAAAATCGTCTTTTTTTACTTTAAGTGAGATTCCATGAAATATTCTTATAATTTTTGGCACGACTATCCATATAGTCGGACAGCACAACAAATGTACATATTTGCCTGCCCATGTACAATGCTTAAAATTATATCTCAACATTTGTTGCCGGTGCTTTTGATCCTTTTTCTTAGAGAAACATTGTATCGCATCTGTAAAAATTGTGACAACATAAGATGATAATTAAAATAAAAGAACTTTGCATTCTGCTTTTAAAATGAAACAATTTTATGTCAAAATGTAGTGTAAAGTAAGCTAAGGTTGTGTTTTTAGATTTATACTTTTATATTAAATTATCTACAAAAATGCATACATAAATGATGCACGTTAAGCCTCAGCATTGAATAGAAATCATATATCATGTAATATTGTCATAACGGATTTAAAGCATGTAAAAACATATCACCTTAAAAGAAGCACTGACTGTGAAGCCATATAATTAGTAAAAACTGAACAAAATGGCACGTTGACTTCCATACAAAATCTACATCGGCAGTTTTGGTCGATTGGTTAAGGTCACTGAATTCAAAAAACTTGTTTTTACGCGCTTAAAATAATAACGTATTCCTTTACACCAGTAAAGCTTCAAAGTTATGTTATTATATGACCTGTTAAGGGTTTATGCGTCATAAAACATCTCTTATCATTTTACTTATTCCCAGAATGTAAAAGAAAAGGATGAGTCATGTTTTTTGTCAATCACAAGTGAACCGTTTTGGAAAGTTTTGAGAGTACACTAAAAATAAAACATTTTTAACAGAAAACGATTTAGCTTTTACACATGTGGATTCCTTGTATGCAGTAGCACACGAAACTGAATCTGGTACAGCAACAGTGTATTTAAAGTATATACAGTGTTTCTTTGATTTACTTTTTTATGTGTGTTTAATAATGCTTGATCTTTTCAAACAGAGCTCATTTAGCATCTTTCAACTTGGAAATGGAAAACTCTTTCCACATCCAATCAGCGTATCAATTTATGTTCGACAAAACGTATAAGGCCGGGCTTCAGGCTGTAACCTCTCGCTAAATATTGATTTTTGCAAACAATCTTCCCATATATAAATATATGTTTAACCCTTCCCTTCCCCTGAATATAAGATATATACAGTCCGAAAAACATTATCATAAAGATAATATCTAAATTATATTAGTGCAACCCCTAAGATAATGTTAGTATCAGTAAACCCTTTGTTTGAACATTTATTAAAACGTGAATCATGCTTTAAGATAATGATGTGAATTTGTGTTGATATAAATCAATTTCTGTTGTACTCAAGGATACTCAGGCAAATAAATGACAAAAATATTAAAATGATTTAATGTAATCAAATCACGCTAAAATGACATTTTTTAAAGTCCCAGCATACATTTTGGTATAAATTCTATATATTTTGGGTTTGAAGCGTAAACATGCCTAGGTTATATTGACGAAATTAAGACGCCGACAGAATCACCGAATAGTGTTAAAAGAAGTCATGTAACTTGAACAAGCCATGGAAGTTACAATAACAGATATTGTGGATATTGTATGATTGAATTATTCATTTGATATGTTCTTTAACGTTTCCAGAGTTCACTGTGGCAACTATTGTGAAATCTAAGAGCCCTAACCTAACTCACGTGGGTCAAGTTAGGAAACTACCATTTTATACTTTATAAGGAGTAAAGTTTTGTTACTAAGACTGCCTTGCGTATTTATTTTGAATACATTTACAAAATTATCAATGAAATATTCAAAACAAAGAAATGATTTTTTTTGCCTGTGTCTCCCTTTAACCTACCTACACCAAATTGTTTTGTTCACATTTATTCAATATGACATCTAAAACTCCATTTTTCTCTCAAAATCAATCTCCCTTTATAAAGTAGTCACGGGCACATCCATCTTTTAACTAATTACGAAACAACTGTTCTATAAATGCGGAAAACCACACGGAAAACATTAATTAAATATGCATACAACTGGCTAGGTTATCGTAATGTTAGATTATCAAGCTTAACAGCATTCCAAAAGGAAACAAGCAAATTTAATATGTTTTAAAATAATTTAAATGGTTTAAGATGAGAATAGATCAGATTAAAATCTATATTAAATGGAATTTTAAAGTCTGGTCTGTTAACACCTCATAATATTTTTTCTCTCCGAATGTCATCCTAGTATTTAAGTAAATTTTGTTTTTAAACTATTTTGGTAAGTGAAATCTATTGCATTTTGACAATAAAATTAGATTATCAGACTTGTCAAAATTGTCCAAAATTGATAGAATAACAAATAGATACAAACATAAGATATAAAACTTTCTTAAGAAATAACATTAATGTATAAAGAACCAGTTACAACCTCCTCATTAATAGCCAATAATTTTAGCTTGATTACATTCTGTTTTGATACGCTTTCTATTTCCATGTAACATACTACAATATAAACAGTTCGTTTAGAAATGCATTAAGTATTACAAAATATGTTTTATTTACATGAATTTAACATATCATTTGATTTTATTATGACTTCCAAAATTCATAAAAACATGACAACTCTTTGAAATAAGTAAAATTTAACATTTCAAAAAAGCCTTATATTTTCATGTTGTTTGTCAGAATACGCTTCCGTAGAACAATGAAGGAAAGAAAAAGTTACATAACTTGTGCATATACTTTTTAATAATAATAAATATGTATGGTCATTTCTGTGTCATTTAAGATAACTGTACAAAAGAAAACAAAGTATTACAGTGCGTAAAAATTAAAAATTCTTTTCATTATAAACTCCTTTACAAAATTGTGTTTAAAATCGCGAAATTATATGACACCTTTTGTCATCTGTATAATCGACTGCTTGGTGGGCATCTATATTTATCCACACTCATATTTTCCCTGAATATTTATGAAGCAGAATATAAAACTGACTAAAATTACTCACCTTTGCATTAGGAATGCTGCAATTGAAGTAATTTCAGATCTTTCAACGAAAATATAATATAAGTGAGGTAACCGGCAGTGCGTAACATAAAAGTATGGTGTTATTTAAGAGACACATTTAAATATCGATTTTTTTCTTATCTTTATGATTTTTTAGGACTCTGCAAAACAGAGGATATATATGTTTTTCTCAAAATAAAGAAAAAATGCTTATCATTTACTTAATCGAAAAAACATTTTTGAAAAAATAAGTTTTAACAGATTTTTTAATACGACTGGTCTTTATTATATAAGCATCTTGAAAAAATGTCTATCATGACTCTTTTACGATGTTTAGACTTACATTATTTAATTTTCAAATTTCAGGAGGACACGAGGTCGATATTTCTGGTTTTCTTTCGATGAAAGCATTTACGGGATAGTGCCGTTTAAGATATTTATATCAAGTATAGACGCACGTACGTATATACTATCTAAAATTTAAAGAAAGACAGACTCGAACTTATAGAATATTTTGTGTAGATTGATACATTTACTATACCAAGTTCTTGCATGCTAGAACATAAGTATTTAAGTGGATTGGGTTGCAATGGGAACATCTTCCATAAGTACATGTGTATTTCAAATATTGATACAATTATTAGAAATGCATCATTTTGATGTTCTAATAAAATATTAATTGGAAAAAATATTGAAAGTTTAAGTGATATTAATTACACTTTTGAGAAATAATATTATATTTATTTACAATGTATTATTTGCTATGATATGTAAAATCGGATCATGTATCTGGCAATAACCAACAGCATTCATATTATTATAATGTTTTCGTGATGTTGTTGTTACGTGTACAATATTTTATACTATTTACATGATTGTTTATGTTATTACATACCTGCCGTTATTGACCCATTCATATAAAGGCCTGCAATTGTTAAGAAAACGTTTTAGTTTTACTTCGCAAAAGATTTTTGATATTGGTGTACTTTTATAGTATCGTAAAAGTTATTCATTGGCAACTTACCTGAACCATCTTTTTTTTGTCTGTTGCTTTTTTGACTTGTTGCAAGAACAGTTAAAGATGAGTATTCTGCATTAAAGTCAAAATACTACTTTGTTTCATGAAAAAATGATGCACATTATTTGCTGTTTTCTTCAAATATGTGGCATTCTCTGAACGATTATATCAACATTATTAAATTCACGTGAAAATATTTGTTTCTTAGGCATAAAGTGTCTTTAACACTACTAACTGAATTACAAAAATAAAACTGAAACCTGATTTACTTATCAGATATTAAAAGCCCTGGAACGCAATTTTGTTATGGTTTTATATAATAAATTTGATGCTCAAATAAGTTAAAAGCATTATTTGTAAAGATATCACCGAATTCAACATTTCATGTAAATTAAGGGAGGTAATAAGAAATTTAGTTTCGATAAAGTCAGGTTTTATTATTTCAATAAAGATATGAATGCAATAATCTTTATAAAAATTATTCAATTATAAATTTTATATAAACATTTGCAGTACATATTTAACATATTCTTGGATGTTTAGGAGTTGTTTTTTTTTTTTGAAAAATAATTATATACATATATAAAAATGGAGAAAAACAGAATCCCTAAAGAAAGTCCAACACAACAAAATTCAAAATGTTGCAGGCTCGGTTTGATTGAGCCTGTTCATGGACGGTACTGTAAAGTGCAAGTTACCGTCCACGCCCCCTAGCACCGGCTTAAGCAGAATTCAATATTTAACACGAAAATGGTGAATTTATGAATTTAGAATCATCCGCAGATGTGTTCATACGGCGGTTATCATGGAACCTTTAATGTGACACAGTAGTGCCATTCCATGAAAAGCGGCGTATGGTCCCCAAGTAAAAGACTGCTTTTGCCCTAAACGACAAAACAATGGGCGGAACTAAATCTTAAGAATTTAAAAAAAACAATATAAACTTAAATTAAATGAACGTTGAATCCTAAATTGCAACATTTAGGACATACTTATCTGCTAAAAATAACAAACGTTAACAATCAAGTCATATCTATAAATGAAGTTATTACTTTATAATGGATATAGGGGGTCAATAGCCAATTACCAGGAAATGTGACATTCTTATAGTGGCATAGTGGTGACGTCTTGAGTATTATTTATCTTGTGACCACGACTTATTATCTTGTGACCACGACTTATTATCTTGAGGTCAGGACTTTTTATGGTGTAGCCACAACTTATAATCATACAAAATTATGGCCACAAGACTTGCAAGATTAAATAATACTGCAAATGATACCTCTGTGCCACCGTACATTAGGACACAAGTTAGCTAAGTCTACACTACAAGTATATTTGTGAAAGTCATGTTTTTTCTGATTCTGGTTATTCTTATATTTATTTCTACTACTTTTAGAAAACGGTGAGCCATGTTTTGAAAGTATTCATATACAAGAGACCCAGGCATCCGGCAATTATTTTAAAAGTGAACTTTCAGCGGTTGATGACTTGTTGAGGTCCCGGATTACTTTTTTGTTTAAGGACTTAACAGACCTGACACCTTGGATTTTGGTTTGTTGAATTCATTCTTAAGCACTTTCTGCATACTTAATTGAATTGAAAACACTGATAATGTATTCATAGATACTGATTAAATAAAAAAAAACGTTTCCTAAGGATGTCGATGTATATTTTTTATTAACATGATAACTATAGGAAATAATGTTTTCAATTGATAATTAATAGTTCATATATATTCTTGTTGATGTAATGTTTTTTTTTTTAAATAAAATAACTGGATAAATGTTTTCAATAATTAGTTCTCCGTGTTAGGGGACATAAAATAAAGATATTTTCTTAAAATGTGTTGTCTGTATGAAAAACTTATTTATATAACTTGACATGATAAAGGTCACCTTGTTGTATTTGAAGCTGTATACCACTAATTTTTACTCTTAAAATAAAGTGAGAGCATGAAAATATTACAAGCGTTTAGTTTTTTAAGAAATGCGACAGCTTTTCTATGCAATATACTTTAACAGATTGGTAAGGGAATCTTTTTAATTAAATACGATGTAGATCTAGTGTGTATGTAGAATCAACTTCAAACCAACTTCAGTTTCACAGACAAGTTCATATACCAGGGTCACGGACATTTTTCGTCACTTGACAATAATGTACAAGCAAGTCGAGCAAGCTTGCTTAAAATGATTTGAATAAGATTCTAACTTACGTTTCACGATTGAACAACTAAACCTTATGAACAACAATTAATTATTTTAAAGGAATATTAACAATTTCAAAGTAATACTTGCGCTATTTTTTGTTAGTTGTTAATTCATGTAACATATAGGATTAAAGTAACGTTTCTTGAAAGCAGATCGTTCTGCAGCGGGCACATTTTCGGTAAGACTTTCAAATATTGATAAAAAACAATAAAAATGAAACTTGGATAATCTTATGAAATATTTCTAAAAACAATACATCGTACTATAGTGAGTTATCATTAAAATAATTCTTATGAAAAATAATATTTTGTTGTATAAACTTCAATTATCTGATATAAATTAAAAAAATACCTATTTGATCTTGTATCTAACATTAGCGAACAATATCCATATTAAGTATTTTGTTGTTTGTTCTCACATATGATACAGAATATTTTAAATATAATTATTGTATAGTATAAGATTTTCCGTTATAAACAAGTTCACTTTAAAATTGAGATACATCAGCAACGTTTAACCAATTATATGTATAAACTAATGCCAGTGTCTTTATTCATCTAGGTGGACCTAACTTCTTTAACAACAATAGAAGCACTTCATATTTACTTACACACAGATACGTGGACAACTTGCAGTTTATATTTTGGCATAGATAAGTTTCATCTACAGAAATACAAGGTAATCTCGGCGTATTTCCAATATTTAATGTGAAATACATGTGTATATGGATCATAAGACATACGCACAACGATTTTTGTATTATCTGATCAAAAATCAGGAAAAACAAAGCTAACATTAAATCTCTGACACAGCGGTTTCATGACAAACCTAACAACAAGTAGTTCTTAAACCAGCTTTAAACGAGCGAATGAAAAGAAAGAAATTTTTTTTGTTAAAAGTATCCAACAAATTACAACGCATTCAAAGTTTAAAAGTAGCTTTGGGTTATAGAATTGTCATTAAATGCACATTCACAAATTACGCGGATGAATATGATTTTAATCAATGAAAATGCTTTTTTATCGATGTCGATCAGAGCGTATTTCATAAATAAATCTGACTTTCGAGTAGTGGAATATATATACATGTTGGACTGTTTTGACGAGAAGATGTTTGCTAAAGTATTTACATCAATGTTAAACAACCGGTTTATCGTGAACAAAATACATCGAAATAAATAAGGATTACCAACCCGAAATGCAATGGAAATTCATAATTTAGTTTTACTTTATTTTATTCAGGCTTTCTCCGTATAACTTTTCCGTGGTGCAGTGTGTCAGAGGTCTGGGGTTCAAATCCCATTCAAGGCAACTATTATTATTGTTTTTAAGCCACAATATGCAAGAACAAAGTGTGGCTGTCATAAAAATGAACATAAATTATTATCTGATGCAACTCTAGTCATGCAAAATTCCGTATGTATCAAACTCTGGTGCCCAGCAAGAAGAATTATAGTACATAAAAATAAACTTGTACAGGAAAATAATACTGATATATAGTGCGATTTAGATTGCAAAGATCAGAAAATACCACAGAGCTTGCAGCCCTTTGATTTTTTAAATGTATACGTTAGTGTGGATCGCTACTTGCTGCGTCCCAATTTCCATAACGAGGAATATAATTTGTGCATTGAATTGTATACGATATATTCCAATATCAACTCACAAGTCATAATGGATTTAAAGAAATAATATGAATGAAAGAATAGATGTTCAGACGTGTGTATTGAAACAGATTTGAATTGGAAAATTATCATGTACTTCTTAGTTTTGAATGCGTGAATAGTAGGTATTGTTCCAAATGGCAAAATCAAGATGGTAAACCTCCTTTATTTTTTGCACAAATATTAAAAAATGTTTCTAAAGCTATATCAATGCCCTATAAATAGCTAAACAATATGAGCGCCCTTTTCTATAAGTTCAAGCCGGACAGATATCTATTTCATTGAGCATATGCTTTTTCTTTGGTTTTGTTTGTTTTTAAAGTCAAATCTATGTTTGGTCCTCTTACCAATTCTTATGTTTGATACATGTTAAACTTATCTTTGTCTGATGAAAACATACTTGTTGTTGTTATATAAAACTAATACAAAAGTTTAATTAAGATCCTCAATATTTTTCAAACAAGATGGTAAATATTTGTTATATTTCTTTTTTTGTCATAATACGATTAAGTTTAATGATTTTTTGTGACTATTGACGCATTGTCGATTAGATATCTAATGCCTGAATTTAAAGTAGTATAAAGATAATTTTGGCGTTTCTTAAAAAAATGCTGCTTTAACCGTTTTCACGAGCATGATTATATAAAGACTTATTTAACCCAAAATTTTGTTTTCATTGTTCAACAGTATTTGTTTTGTTGTTGTTGTTGATGTTGTTTTCTTTTCGGTCTCCTGTCATAATATTTTGTTTCTGTTGCAATTTGTCAGTTAGAATGTTAGTATTGTAAGAGTATTCAAGTGTTTTGTATGTAAATCAAAATACCACTTTGCTTTTATTTCTGCTACATTCAGCGCCACATTTATCAGGTAATAATAATCTGTCATGCGCTAAAAGCATTATATAAGATTATAAAAGTAATGTTGGCTTTTTCTTAAGAATGAAAATTTACTTGTATCTGGGTCAAAATGTTTCTTTAACATTCAGTCAGGACATAAAGTAGTTGCAGTAGCGTAGTGTGACGTAATCAGTGTCCATGGTCTCATCACAGTGGTCTCTTGATCACAGCACACGATACAGATAACTAGTAACACAAAAAAATCGACGGAAATTTAGCAATAAAATTTGAAATACAGATTGTTTAATTTTATTTACAATGTAAAGTTACCATAAGGTTATTCTATATGGTCATTATTCAAGTTGTTTGACAATCATGATATTCATTTTATTTTATTTATTCTTAGATAATGGTATTTACCATCTTGTCGGCAGTTTGTTTTTTACATAGGTAAAATAACAATAGGAATACTCGGTGATGAATTTTAGGAATAACGTTATGGTCGCTTGTGTCTCTCACTTCATTTTCTGCTATAATATGAGCATTTGGATGTTTTGTCGCGTCTTGTCTATACATTATATCCCCAATTTCTGTCTATAGTTCTATCAAAAAGTGTATATCTATGTATTAAATGATGGGTTGTTGATCCTAATGAATGTGCATTCAAGACGACATTTTGAAATCTTATCAAATAATGATGTCACAGTGGAAAACGCCCTCTAACATGACAAAAAAAATATACTTAAAATAGGTCTCATAAACTGCTAAAAGAAAGCGTGAGTAGTTCCCGGTTATTCCGATACCATCCGACATTAGCCGATGTCAAACGATTCATTAAAGTCCGTATTCTCACATTTAATTGATTATCAACATTTAGTAATCACTGCCGTATGAACACATCAAACTATGGATGCATATTAATTCATCGTGCTTTTCTTAAATTTAAACCTGAAATTTAATCGGCAAAATAACAGGTTATATGAATTGGATTTATTGAGAATGCGTCAAAACAGGGGAGTGTGAAATTACCTCTAAAATTATGAAAAAGGTAACATAAACCATGCACTTTGGGTGAACTTTAATGAAATTTACATAAATTTGACTCATTAAGATAAATACACCTTATTGACATATTATTGAAATGTCTTTTACTTATTCAACTTCTATATCATACAATATTCACATATCATTTATAAAAAGCTAGAATGTTTATAAAATATATAAATATCATGAGATAATGAATCAATAAGGTTTTGTGCTTTATCATAAACAGTTTGTCCAAAGTAGATAAAATCTGCTCTATTTTTGCTTATGAGAATGAAATGAAGATGTGGAAGTAACTTTAATTTATTAAGTATCTGTAATTCATTACTTTTAGGAATTTCGGATTTTTCCTGAAAGTGTATTAGTAAAAGAGCAGACAATAACTTTTCCTAGACCAATCAAAGCAAGATACGTAAAATTAAATGAATCACTTGCAAATCCAACACTTAAACGACGACGCTTAGATTTTATGGTTTACGGTTGTAAATTGACAGGTAAGTATAAAGTTTAATGGATCACTTTCTTTTGACAAATTGAATAATTACTGCAAACATTTGGAATGAGGCTATAATTTCATCATGAAGATGGTCATATTTTCACTTTTCTTGTTGCTATTTACTAAGTTACTTTTTCATTTGGTTTTGCTATCTTTATGATAAATGTATATAACAGAGAACTGTTCTGTTTTGTAAACAGGTATCACTGACTTCACCAGCAACAGTTTATCTGAAATGCTACCTCTAGATCAAGAATTGCGATCCGGAAACTCATCTTTCATTAGTAATACAAGTGTTGAGGAATGTAAACATCTTTGTAAATCTAAAAAAGGTTGTAGTGTTGCCAGCATCAATGAAGAGAAAATTTGTTATCACTATATTGGTAGTGAACTTGGGATATGGAAAAATACTAAGATTACAAACGGCAGTCAATGGTTTTCCAAGTTACAAAACAATGGTATGTCATTATTTCGTCATTAGATAATTTATCATGTTTTCGCCTGTCAAAAATAAGCGGTTGATACGTCTGTGGCTGTATTACTATTCAATTCATGTGCGTGTATTGTGATTTCTTAAAAAGATTAATTTATTGTTATTTTTGTAACAAAAGCCTCAGACAGAAAATGTTTGTAGAAGCGATTATCAATGTTATTTTTCTTTAAGTTTAACACAAATATAAAAATAATTAAACTCAAACATTTTTATAAGCATGTTTTGTATAAACTGACTACCTATGAAAATATGTGAAAAAAAAGAAACAGTAAAGAAAATGATTCGGTCAGAAATGATATTTAATGATTACTAGGTCAAGTTCGATTATAGGTCACTTGGGTTAAAAAATATGTCAAACAGCCCGAAAATGAAAAATGAACATTGTAAACACTTGAGAGGTTATTGTTTGGTCCAAATATCCTGGAAAAAGATCAGAAATGTTGTTTTGATGATTTCTAGGTCAAGTTATATGGTTTACCTGGGGTCAAAAACTAGGTCATACAGTCCCAATATGGAGAAATCTTGTTAATTCTATACATGCTAAGAGGGTGTTCAAATATGAATGCAACTAGGAAAATATCTCGCTTTTGACCACGTTTGCACAAACAATGTATATGTATCGCATAGATGGCTTTGTAAGCTCTCAATTGATGCAATACATGTGTACATCAGTTCAGTCTAGCTTTGACAATTGCTCGATTTACGCTATTTACTCTAAAAGGGATTTGAAAAGGTGTCCTTTCATTGAACAAATACGGTCCTTTATCAAGAACAGCTGTATTCTTGGTATATAGACGAAAGACATATTAGATAAAATATGTTGTGTTCATGGTAACAATGAACTTTCTTTTTCATCTGTCACACGGTGATGTAAGAAATTCAAAAGTTGTCTGGATTCAGTAAAATATGCAACCCATACATACAGTCCTAAAACTGCAACTTTGCCAAAAACAGTTGAAAAAGTTAAGGATTGGATTGCCTTTGATGTGAAATTTACTTTCAACTATATATCTTAATGCGTTGGTTTCTCTGTAGGAGTCGCTAATACAATTTTCCGGTGTGATTTAAGATAAGAAGGATAAGTGCTAGATGGATACAACATATCCTTAAAAAGAGCAAAAGCTTGCTCGGGTAATAACCTCCAAGCAATTGTTGAAATAGTTCCAAAATACAACAACCGATCTTTCGCAATTATCATCACGGGCGATGAGACATGGGTTCACTTTTATGAGCCCAAGAAAAAGATACATAACAAAATATGGGTAACCAAGGAAATCAAAACATTGCATAGCAAAACGCACAATGAGCGCCCAAAGGATACGTGTGTTATTTTCTTTACCAATCATGATTTTGCTTTTCAAATAGCCGTACCTAAGGGTAAATATGAAAAAGCAAAGTTTTAATCTAATACAGGAACAGGTTGTCGAGTTTCCTTACCCTCCTCATTCGCCATATATTGCCCATAGTGACTTTTTCCTATATCCGAGGCTCACAAAACACCTTGCTTGAAGAAAATAGCAAACGGGAAAAAAATTCGGTTCGGCTATTTTCCAGTGTCTGACCAGTATACCTCGAAACGATAATGAGACCACATTTTAAATTGGACTTAAATACTAAAACATTGTATACCACTTGGTGGTGTGTATTTGGAGGGACTAAGATAATTATTTTGGAACATTTTGTTAAGCACTCCTGAAAATTGATTCAGCTGTATTCATATTTGAACAACCCTCGTACTGATTTTTATCCAAATATCCCGGAAATAGGTTAGAAAGTTTTTTTTGTGTAAGGTCAAGTTTGAATTTTGGTATTTTATGAGAATTTCGATGGTTGTTCTAAAGGTATCATGACTAAGGGTCTTGCATCTTCATATTCCGTTAATTGAGAATAATTGCATGTGTACAGCAATCATAACATGGTTTCTACAATTTGAGCATCTGTTTATCAAATTGTTGTCCTAAACATCTGTTTTCAGTGATATTGAATAACCATAGTAACACGCACACGGTGCAGCAAATTTAAAAAATATTGAAGCTAATTTGTACCTATTCCTGATTTATTTTCTGTTTTTTTTTGTTTTGTTTTAATATATTTCACCAACTTATTTCATCATCTTTAAGTGACATCATATCCAAATTTTACGTCAATCAGACATGAATGATATGAAATGGCTAACTTATCAAGTTTTTATCAGCAGCTGTCATGACATTTCATGTAGAAATATGTCGCTCGTTAAAAAGTTGAAAGTTTGTGTAATTGTATTCCAAATATTGTAAACCCATGCAGGAAGAAACTCACTTGTTTCAAGCATTGAATATTAATTCAGATAGCATTTAAGTTCTACGTAGGCTGTATGATATTACCTAAGATCAGGCTATAATTCCTTCATTTTAAATAGAATATTTCTAATAATGTCTGGTAAAGGTATTTACATAGTTAACATGTATATCTAACCGACAACATTACTTTCCCCTGGATTTTCCCACTTTTGAACAATAAAACGTTCTTTCTGCGGCATTCGGAACTCTCAGTTTTTAACATAATATTTTGTTAACGTTTACGTAAAATAACAGGATAGTGTTATGACTTTGACATGAAAGTACGACCAAACATTTAACCTTTTACAAAACTAGAGTAGGTTTAGGTCTCAAACGTGTCATTTTACACTAGGTCAACGCGCCCGCTGAAGAAGCCAATTCAGCAATGTTTGAGAACAGTGTTCTAGAATTTGAATCTCTAGTTCACTCTCTTTATTATCTGGTCCCGAGTATTTCCATTACTAAAGCGTAAACTAAAAAGACACAGATTTCGATTACAATGTGTTCCTGATCATTGTTGCTATATTTCCTAAGTAAACCTACTAGAAGTGGATATCTAAGCAGAAACATATAATTATGTCCTTTTGGCTATATCGAAATCTATGCGCAGCTTTAATGATATGACATTATCTTGGCGTGTTATATGACAGCGTGCTGCGGGGTACGTTGATGCACTCTGTTTAAACTACATTAATACGTAACATTGGAGGCGTCCGTGGCAGAGTGGTTAAGGTCTTTGACTTCAAACCACTTGCCCCTCACCCGATAAAAGCGTGGCGGATTGCGTTTCCATGTAGACACCCTCCTTCAGACTGTTTTTCGTCCATATTTTGTTATTTGGTATTAAATTCTTTATTCTGATTGCTTAGGACAGGCAATATACGGATCTAAATGGCTAAATCAATTCACTCGTATATGTCACCGAACGGCGACAAAAATATAAACATGCTTGTCTGATAAATTAAATCGCATTCGTTGAATATGTAAAGCTGCATTTCTACACGGCTCAAACGATACAAAAGTTGAGAAGATTTTTTCTTTGGAAATGTGTCAAGCATATATAGCTTACGCAATTAGGGTGCGTTAACTGGAGATTCTGGGGATAAACAAGGCTTGCACTTGAAGTAGCGCAAAAAAAGTTTACTTAAGAGTAGAAAAAGAACAAGGCTGTATAAGGATTTCGAAGGCTGCATATCATCACGATAGGAATAATGATTATAAGCTAGAAATGTGTACGCAATGTCTATTATTCCTCGAGATTGATAAATAGCATCGTGTTTCAGTGCTCAAAAACTTATAATTCGCTCTATATTGCATTCAACTGAAGCATTAAGGTTTTTTAGTGAATTGATGACATCATTTTAACATTTGTGCTTAACGTAATATTGCATTTCAATGCAGTCCTGTTTGTGGAAATCATACCAGGATTTTGATTTTGTTTCCGTAATTTTTTTAAAATTATTTACCAAGTGAATTATCTTCTTCCTATCAACTTGTTTTCTTGTTAACACAGTATCTATGGTATCCTTTCCGCCGAGGGCTTACCAGAAAGAATCGTTTTTTAGAAACGTACAGTACATAGATGGCGTCTCTATAATAACATCACTCAGTTACCCTCTAACGGCAATTTTAGACAATGATATTCTATGGATAGTAAATTTTGCACAAGGACGGTTTGCCAAATTTGTTTTCACAAATGTTTCACTATCTGAGGTATGCATTCGATTTTTTTATCTCTAACACATTAGGTTCTAAATCCATTCCAATTTAAGTTAGTAAATTCATTATTTTATAATTTGTAAGATTAACGTTTTTGAGTTAATATTGGCTTCTTAACTAATTTCGAGCTTGTATCAATTTAAAGTCAATTTCGTTTTGTAAGTAAACATTTATTAATAAATACAACTAATCAGTTATTGAATATCGGGAAAATGTTAAATTACAATTTGTTGTCATGTAACTGACTTTACGTTAACACGGTGTTGTTCTTACTTACAAAACAAAGTTATGTAGCCCAATGTTTTTTTTTTTACTTTTAAAAGTTCTCAAATCCTACTGTAAATGAAAATTGATTTGTTAGTTCATCTTACATGATTTTCATTACAACTTAATGCCGTGATGTTAGTTTATTTTCTTAATGATAATTAACTGATAAAGTCGTCGAGTTATTTTGTTTAAAAATTGCTACGTAACATACTTAATTTTTACGCAGTGTGAACTTATTGTAAAAACATCGGAAGATGGTAACAAAGGATTTAGCATTGACACGCGGTACAACGATAATGTATTTGTATTAGAAACAGATAAAAACCTGTTGTTCTTATCAGCAATGCCACATACAACAACATTGACACCAAGGATGAAATTCCGAGCAATTGTAACTGCTGAAGGTAAATTTAATGTCCTTTCTTATTTTCTTTTTCGAAACGACTTGCAGTATTATATAAACGATTTGTACTATAAATCAAAACAGAGTCCATTGAAAGCTATCTTCCAAGTTGATATTTGGTTTAATAATTTAGTTTAATTTACAACTCCAACAACTTGACAAAGTTAAATTTTTGGAGTCATTTATCAACTTTTCTTTTGTGTCTGTCTTGTTTGCGTTTGTATAATGACTTTTAATCAGTTTAACGCTTTTGTTTCTAGTTTATCTAATCCTTAAATGTTGTCCGTTCAGTTTAAAAATGCGATATTCTGGTATTTAAGAACGAAAATGACAATTACCAAGTTTTTAATTCTATATTTTACAATTGATTTCCTAGTGTCATAAATGTTGTCTTAATAACCATCCATAATAATGCATTGTACACAATTGTTTGTATATTTTTAAAGTGCCACCCAAGGATCATTACTGCGAAGTTTGATTAAAATGTTTAACGCGGCTAAAACTTGGATGTAGTATAAAGACATAGTAAATCACAACGTATGAATGACAATGAACATCTTACTTTCACAAAAACTAAACTTTAGGCACTTTGTGCTTATGTGATCTAAAAGTGAAAGTAATTTTCCTTAGATGTATTACAAGTTAAAATACAGTTAATAATAGTTTCTACATACATGTTTTGCACAAATAAGTGTTCCAATTACGAACAGACACGACTTTCCCCATTTTGCCTAGTGCATTGATTCATCACTATGAATAGTTTGAATAGTTTGTTCATAGATGCTTTACAACTGAGATAGCAACACTATAATGAAATATACCATAACGCTACAATGAACTGTCATTCAGGCAAATGAAAATATAATAAAGTGACCAGGTTTTGTTTTCTCAATTTGATTTGACCTGAAGACAATTTAGCAGAGAATTTGTTTGATAACACAACGTGTGATGTTAATGTGTCTGAAGAGTTTGTACCATAGTTTAACATAAGTAATTATACATTTTCAAGGAGATAAATAACAAACAATTTCCAACAGTAAGATGTTCATGAAAATTATTTTTCAAATCAAGTGTTCTTATAATAATCAATCATACATGACCAAAGTTCAACAAACCACTTAAATCACGTTGGGGCTTGACAAAATGTGAATTGAACGAGTTGTGAGGATTAATCTAAACTGCAATGTTTAAGATAAGATAAAATTTGATAAGTAAATTTTAATATAGTGACATTGTGTTATGAATATACATAATTAGGATATATATTTATTTTCACAACACCCGGCAACGTTGGACCTACTATTCATTTAATGATTTAAACATTTCCAAAAATAAACAATTTGTAACATCATTTACATATTATTTAATTACATACATTCACCAAGTAATGAGCTTAATATGTTCTGTGTCATACGCACAACATCACTTTAGGTATTAAATCACATATATGTATATTTATTTATATAAACAGATATGCCAAATATAACATAAAGGAACTTAGCTATGTCATTTGAATGTTTGCCGTCAGAATCTAATGGCACTTAGCATTCATTTGTCTCTGTAAACTATCGTTATAGGCGAGATGTAAACTAGAGAAGATCCTTTTATTTCACATTAATTGACTTTATAAAATTATAATTTAATCAAGTCATGACAACTTAGCGGTCAGTATCCCACTCTTGAGTAAATCTGCACATGAAAGTGAGTTAAAAGCATTTTATGCAGGTTACTGAAAGCGTTTCAAAAATGTGAATTGAACGAGTTGTGAGGATTAATCTAAACTGCAATGTTTAAGATAAGATAAAATTTGATAAGTAAATTTTAATATAGTGACATTATGTTATGAATATACATAATTAGGATATATATTTATTTTCACAACACCCGGCAACGTGGGACCTACTTTTCATTTAATGATTTAAACATTTCCAAAAGTAAACAATTAGTTACATCATTTACATATTATTAAATTACATACATTCACCAAGTAATGAGCTTAATATGTTCTATGTCATACGCACAACATCACTTTAGGTATCAAATAACATATATGTTTATTTATTAATATAAAAACAACAGATATGCCAAATATAACATAAAGGAACTTAGCTATGCCATTTGAATGTTTGCCGTCAGAATCTAATGGCACTTAGCATTCATTTGTCTCTGTAAACTATCGTTATAGGCGAGATGTAAACTAGAGAAGATCCTTTTATTTCACATTAATTGACTTTATAAAATTATAATTTAATCAAGTCAAGACAACTTAGCGGTCAGTATCCTACTCTTGAGTAAATCTGCACATGAAAGTGAGTTAAAAGCATTTTATGCAGGTTACTAAAAGCGTTTCAAAAAGCTTATACAATTTTATCAAGAACAGATTACTTAAAAGGCATGCAAAAATAAAGATTATTTAATTTGAAATTATTCATTTTTATTGTGCCCCAACATAAGGGGGCATTTTGTGTTACCCTTGTCCATCCCTCCGTCCGTCCGTCCATCTGGGTGAACATCCAATGGTCTATGAGCTTAATGTCGTCCATAATTTTATTAAAACCAGAAGAAAATCTCATAAACCTACTGGTTCATCAGGTAATTTTACTGGTTTATGGGGAAAAATGTCACATAAAGATCAATGAAAAATCACATGACACCAAATGTTGACATGTCCGTCCTTCTGTCCGTCCGTTCTCTTTTGTATCGCACGTAGCTCAAAATTTATTTGACCAAGAGTCATGAAACCTGACGGGAAAGGTGATAAGCATGTGTAGTAGTGCACTTGGGTATTTTCGTGTGGATATATTTTAAATAAGTAGTTTTGGAGTTATTGCCCTTAACTTAGTAAAAAATCGCAATTTTCAACTTGTGTCGCACGTACCTCCAAATGTATTAGACCTAAAGCCATGAAACTTTACAGGAATGTTGCTCAGTATGTAAAAGTGTGCAACTAGGTATTTGTGTGCGGATATAATTAGTCTTTTTGGAGTTATTGCCCTTGACTAAGTTTCGCAATTTTCAACTTGTGTCGCACATAACTAAAAAGTATTTGATCTAGTAATAAAACTTTACAGTAATGTTGATCAGCATGTGCAGTTGTGCACCCGTGTAAAAAAGGTAAAGGTAAAGGTCTTGTTTATTATAGTGTCACCCCTACTGAAAGGGCCAGCCATTTTGACTTATGAGACACCTTTTGCTTGCATACCATGTACCTCCCGATTTGTATGTGTATTTTCTTTTAGATTTATTAAGTAGTTTTAGATTAATTGTCCTTGACTTAGTAAAAATTTGCAATTTTCAACTTGTGTCATATGTAGATTAAAAAGTATTTGACAGAGGGCCATTAAATTTTACCGGAATGATGATCAGCATGTGAAGTTTTGCATCAGGGGTTTCGCTTGTGAATTGGTCTTGTTGGAGTTATTTCCGTTGACATAATGAAAATTTACAATTTTCTATTTGTGTCATGCGTACCTAAAATGTATTTAATCTAGAGTCATGAAACTTAACAGGAATGTTGACCTGCATATGTAGTTGTGCAACATGGATTTTGTTTGTGGATTTATCCAGTATTTGTAGAGTGGCCCTTGACTTAGTAAAAACCGTTTCATTATGTTGTGTTATTTGTTCCTTGAGTGGTTGAGTTAAAATCAATTAACTATGCGGGAATGATAATCAAAATCATTTTGAAGCAACGCACATTGTGATTTTGTTCAGTTTTGTAAAAGTTATTGCTTTTGACTAAGTATAAATTTGCAATTTTCAACTTGATCATGCACAGCTCAAAACGTATTTGACCTGTAGGCCTGAAAGTTTACAAGAATGCTGAACAGCATGTGTATTTATGCCCCTTGAGGTTAACTTGTGGATGTAATCAGTATTTTTAAAGTTCTTTCCCTAGACCTAGAGTCATAAGATTGACAAAACAGTAGAGTGTGGTGGCGCCCGTGTCCTATGGATACAAATTTATAGTTCATTTTCCGTCATTTTACAAAGTGTTTTTAACTTAAAGAACATTTATTTCCAATGGGCATTTTACAATTATGTTTCAATAATAAAGGCGACTGTATTTTCGTTATATAATTTGGCATAACTGGAACTTAATTCCTATCATTTCGTTACAGCATATACAAAATAAAAGAAAATCATGTTATAAGAATAAAAGGAAAAGTTTGCACCCTGACAGGGAATTAAAGTAACAAACATTGATTTAATTTCAAATCAAACGATGTGTTGCTTGCCACAGTATTTAATTATCAGATTTTAAATTGGACACAAAGAGCACAAGGCAGGCAACTAAAATGTAGAAGGAAAACCAAAAAAAATCATATCTGTGTCAATTACAGTTTTCTTTCATTAAACAAAATTATGGAAACTTTGTTGCTCTAGTTTGAATTTTCATTCTTTGCAAATATAAAACTTGTTGTACTGTATGCCTTGTTAATTTTTGATTTTTTATTCAGCGGATGACTGCCTTTGAAATATAATCTTATTTTACATTTCTGTCTTAGAGTTATTTATTTTAAAGACTTAAATTCACTACTTGGCCTAAGGAAACTAAAACTGCAATATTTTCAGTTTTCCCGTTCTGGATTTCTTTTTTCAGGGACTTTTTCTATATAAGGTGATCTTTATAATTTGTCTTTATTTTCTCACTCTGTAACCGAAAAAAATAAAAAAGTTATAGGTGACCTATAAGGATTCTTACTCCTTGTATCAATATCAGAAGACTGACATTGTAATGATCTTATTTGCTAATACCGAGCATGGTCATACAGTGGCTTTATTAAACAGTCTGCAAAATTGTAGACTTTGAAATATCACATTTGAAATAGTACGAATCAGGTAAATACATGTATATATATATATATATATATATATACATATATTTCTTGATAGATCAAATCAATGTATTGAATCAAGTGATCAAGTCTTTACATTGCAATTTATTTTGCTGGTTAATTTGTGTCAGGCCGTATGTTCGGTCCGCAGGGCGCAAAAGAAATATGACTATGTGGCTACTTAATTGTAATATCCCTGCGCCATCTTTGTCTTCGCTTTTTGCTCCGCTGGGCGACAGACGATATAACGAAATCATGAAATCACGAAAAAACGACAAACTGTTCACTGTGTCAAGTGTTCGTGTTTTTGGCTTGCCAATGTAGTTAATATTAAAATATAAAGACGAAAAACAGGGCTTTGAATCTTAACTTTTTTATTTTTTTATATTGTTTAAGTTTATTACTCTTTTTGTGGGGAATGAATGAAAACCAGATATATGTTTTAAGGCGCTCAACTTTTTTCGCTTGCTTGCACAACTTTTTTGTAAAAAAAGGTTTTTAGCGAACTTAGCAACTCGAAGCGCGCAAGAATGTTTATACAGTTTTGTGGATACGACGAAATTCATATTGCTTTATCCATCTTTTTTATCTTCAAATCAATGATAAACTTGTTTCTGAGTAAACCTTAAACTTCGAAATATACATTTGCATCATTTATTTAATTTTCATTAATAGAAGATGTTTATTTTAAAACAAAAATGATTTGAACGAAATGATACGGCGCAGTTTAAAAAAAAAATAGCATACGACGCAGTTGAAAATTCATTATAAGCTAAATAATGGTTCAGCTGTTAAAACATGCGCTAAGTATGCTAGTTACAACATTTATTGTTTGCGAATAGTTTATCATTATGAATGCGCAAAAGTCATCTTGTAAACAACTTAAGTCAATAGGTCACTTACTGGTTCCACGAAATGTAAAGTGTTTTAACACTCTATAAAGGCTTTATTTTTTTTCAGTCTGGTTTAAAGCACTTAAAAGCATCTACAAATTCAATAAAAAGTGTATCAAATTCTAAATACATTGAAACAGTGATCGCACACCACATGACAACGTGTTCTAGTATTGCCTTAACATGCCTGATAACTTGTTATTGTGAGTTCGAAACGAATGGGGGAGGTTACTTTTTATTTGCAATGTCGTGGTACAAATTTTTAATATTCAGAAGATACCTCTCCTGGACAATAATTACATTTAAAAAAAAACAAAAAACGTATCTTGCTATCGCTAGAGATGTATCCGCAAATTGCATGTCTTGTATACCTTTGTTACTATGAACAACAATTTCTTTATTACCTAGGTCTTTAACGCGCCGATTTAATTGTATTCATTTTCTTAATAATCGGTGAGAACATATGAAACTAAAATCAGTATTTAAATCAGTATTTGAAATGAAGTATTATTTATCTCTAAAATCAACATTTAATTTTTATTATTATATTATATAGTTAAGCTACGATATTTTTTAAAATAAGGTAACTATGCGTTTACCGCTGATTTTGTCGTTTTGCGTTTCTTTATCGCCGATGAGAACAGACGGAATATATTTTCTGAAAAAAAAAATAATTAGATATTTGAAATATAGTATCATTCTTTTCCATAATAAACTTTGAATATTCAATATCGATATATAAATGATAAGAAGTACAAATCAGATTGTCAAGTAGGTGTCATTTTGAAAAGGCATTTTACGCTTAGCACCGTTAAACTTGATACAGGTATATCCAAGGCATGAATTGTTTCAGTAGTATTGTGAATATTTTCAAAGATTTACGTTAGATTATCGCATTGAGTTTTCCTTAGATTTAAATTGAATACATTCCTTAAATTTGAGCATTTATACTAAAGTGTGTTTGTTCTTTGCTAATGAATTGCCTTACACATAAAAAAATATTTTCAGAAAATGACTTCAAAGGGGATTATCTCCCCTGTTTATATTGATTTTTGTCTCTGCTCTTCACACCACTGGCACATTTTTATATATTTTTATCATTTTTCTTTGTACATGCCAAAGTTAAAAATGTTCTTACAGAGCAAGAAAATATTTCATCTCAACAAAAACAAAATAAATGGTATTTTCTTTATAATAATTTATTCAAATATTTGTAATCTTAAAGCCTCATACCAGAAGTTTAATAAAACGATGATTATTTGTACAACTGACATTAGACAAAAGTTTACAAATTTTGTTGAAACAAATATTCACTTATGTGTGTCCGATCGAGGCCGAGTTTACTTAGAGTGTAGCTAGCCAAAAAGAATTTATATTCGAGTTTATAGACATCTTTATCTTTGCCAAAAAATATAAGGTTGATATTGAACATATTGGAAAATTTAAGAAATTATATCAGATATTATAAAGAATTCAGTAAGACGTTCATGCTTATCTGAAAAGTAGCGTCTGCAATGTAAACAAAACAAATATTATATTGAAAATGAAACAACGTTTTAAGTCTCTAAATACTCAAATGAAACAGAGCATTGCTTTAAATCGTGAATGATCTTTTTGTCATCAAGCACAAGTGATTCATTCAGTAAAACAGACATATATATTGCAAAAATTATCCCTTTTTGAAAAGGCTACCAAAAACTAAACTGCATCGTATCATATTTTCTATTCAAATGCGTCGTACCGTGTCGTAAAACTCATTTTTGTCTTGGAAAATAAACATCTTTTTTAATGAAGTTTAATGAATGATGCAAAATTATATTTGAAGTTTATCGTAAACTCTGAAACGAGTATTAAATAGATTAGAAGTAAAATAAAAACAATGGATAAAGCAATATGAACTACGTCGTACCTACAAAACGTCATAAAATATATGGCCGACCTCGAGTTTCGAGTTCATTTTAACTTTTGTTGTGCAAGCAACATACACCGAACGAAACGGAAAACAGTGATATCAGAAGCGTTTTTATAAATATATATCTTGTTTTCAATCATTTCTAACAAAAAGAGTTATTAACAAAACATACCTTTTTGTTCTAACATGGCGACGTTTGTTTACATTTGGTAAGATACGACGCAGTTCTAATTCCAATTCTTGAAATTTTCTTACAGTTTAAGCTTCCTACTTAGGTTCAAAATAATCCGTCCAGTTCCTGGTCGAAATCTATTTGTCAGTAGATATGTTTTTATTCAAATGTAATGAATTATGACATTATATATTTTACAATACAAACTAACCAAAAAAAAAATGTTTTTTTATTTATTATCTTCCAGACACTCCAGCCTGCTTTTCACTAGATTTAAATGGATTCTCTAATATAAGACAAGAACTGTGCAATAAACCAAGTATGTTTCTTACATCCCTTTCTTATTTATATCATCCGTTAAAGTCGGAAGAGTTCGCAATTCAAGCCGGAAAACATCAAACCATTGACATCACCTTCATCGATCTCTGCATTGCGTGTTTTAGATATGAAGGGTCCGGTAAGTTCCTTCTTATATACAAATCTATGTTGTTATTATCATTGTTTTTATTTTGTATAAATGAATAAAGATGGGGTTTTGTGTAAAGTAAATGTATATTGTTAACACAGTAAATGTTTATGTCCAATTTGTCCTTATTATTAACTTAATACAACACTAATTAAATGTTTGAATATTTATATATTTTCTGTCTAAGCTTTGCAAAAGATGACAATATAGCAAAATTATTTACTGGTATCTACAGTCCTTTGCGTCCTATTTCATAAGACTATTTGAATACTACTCCAATAGTTATCTCTATCCCGAAGTCAAATGGTAGCCTAATGTGTATCTTCTTTGGTCCATTTTATAAATAGTATAATCTGTAGTAAATCCTATAAATATCAGTCAAACTTTTTTTGCGTTTGTTATCAATAAATGGCAAAACAGTTCTTTAGGTTGTTTCAGTGATAACCAATTAACGTTTTTTCTCCTTCCTACCTGATACAATTTTACTCCGTACAGTATACACATGTTAGTCACATGAACTTGCAGGTTTGTAACGATCAGATTGATTCTGATAAACTTTTTCAATCTTTGCGCTTTTTTTCAATATTTTCTGCGTAAGGTTAGAAGAACAAATGGATATTTACGGAGATTCACTGCCTTTCTTTTATAATAATAAAACTTCCGATTAGGGTTATTTCGTGATAAGTCAATTGCAACTTCACTTCTTTGTGTTTTAGCCAAATATTGGGCTTCATTTCCAACAAAAGTTTATTGTTACACATTAATGAAACGAGTTTTACGATTAACGATGGAATTTATGCAAGCCAGTCGCCTTTTTGGTGGCTTTTATCTGTATCGATTGTTTTACTTTCTATTTAACATTCATTTTACAACCATTCTCTTCTATCAGAGTTAAGATAAAAACAAGAATGCATTTGTGAAAAATGCTATGCCATCGCATTAATACAACACTAAATAGTAATGTAGGAACATATTTTTTTTGTTTCGATACAATTGAAGATTGCCATAATGCATAGAATACTGACCTATCTAATTCTTCTTATCAGATTAGTGGTTAAATCTATTATTATTCAAATAAAAGATCAGAGTAGAAATCTATCAATGCAAATTGAGTCTAATGCATTTGGTGGTGAGGGTCATATTTCACTTGGCCAAAATTTAAAACTGTACATCAAAGGACAACACAGTAAGACAATTTGTAAAAATCTAGGCCAGTTGATATCAAAGTTGATTTAACATCTGAATCAGTGCACATGATTCAAATTTCATAGCTGCACATCAAAGGACGAGAAAGTAGGCCACATCATCAAAATCTAGGTCACTTGATATCAAAGTTTAATTTTAAAAGTTAAACTGTGAACATAGTCCAAATTTCATGGCTGTACATCAAATGACAAGAAAGAAGGTTACTGTCCCCTTGGGCAAGGCAAACTTTTAACCCAAGGGTTTAATACAACAATCTTGATACAGGTCCACCGAATTACATTTTATGTCAAATATCTTTACTGTAGGTTTTTCCAATTCTGAATACATTTGTTTTAGTATCTGTTTTTACTATTCGAACATAATGAATATCAATGCCCCTGGGCAGGGCCAAGTTTGACACCAAGGGCAAAAATTGAACAATTTTGGTAGATGACCTATAGCTGATATTATAAAGCAAACATCAAAGATCTAAGCCTTCTTACTTGGATTAATTTGAACAATCTTGGTAGAGGTTCACTACACAATGTTTCATGCAAAATGTCTTATCTCTAGCCTTTGTCAATTTCGAGAAGATGATTTTTAAGTTTTTACTATATACATAAAAGGAAAACCTATGACCCCGGGTGAGGGGCTAATTTTGATGTTACAGGCAAAATTTAAACAATTTGGGTAGAGTATCTATAGATAATATCATAAACCAAATATCAAAACTCTAAGCCTTGTACGTTCAGACAAGAAGGTATTTTAAGTTTTTACTATATGTACATACTGTATAGTGAAATCAATGACTCTCTGGGCGGACAAATTTTGATCAAAGGGCTATAATTTGAACAATCTTGTTAGAGGTCTACCAGACAATGCCTTATGCAGAATATCTATGCTCTAGGGTCTTTACAAGAAGATTTTTTAAAAATTTATTCTTAAAAATTCTTTTGGTTGCCATGGCAACCAGATTTCTGCACGGAATAAAATGCTTTGAAAAACTTTGGAAGCCCTTCACCCATGATCAATCCTGCAAAGTTTGGTTCAAATAGAACAAGTTGTTTTTCACAAGTAGATTTTTTAAGTTCACGACTATATAATCTAAAACACACACACACACACACACACGCACACACACACACACGCGCGCACACACCCACCGCATCGCAGATGCTGCGGTGGCCTAAAGAATGTCATGGTGAAATTTCGTGCTTGCTGTAACGGTTCACTCTCACTCTCTGTCTGTCTGTCTGTCTGTCTGTCTGTCTCTCTCTCTCTCTCTCTCTCTCTCTCTCTCTCTCTCTCTCTCTATATATATATATATATATATATATATATATACGGACATATTGATAGACGAACAGAACTCTTTTAAGTCTGATTATGAAATTTGCCAGGAATATTTTCCTTTCCTAGGAACTGTCTCTGCTTTTCTGTAGTTCAACTAAGAAATTATTCTCTGTGAGCTACTTTTTTTTTCATTCCTATATTCTGAACATAACAATATATCTGAGGTAGTGTCTTAACCGAATACGTTTCTGGATAGTAAGGCACCCCGCCCCCAACTCCCATGCAATTGCCAGAAAATATAGTATGTTCATGTGTTATTTTAATTCAGCTTCTCAATTCCATAAAACAAGTATCTCAAAAGAACACAAATATATAATATTATACATGTTTTGTGTCGCATAGATAATCAAAATGCATTTTCGCCAAAAAAGAGGGCCATTACCCGAAAAACGATATAATTTTAAGAATTAATAGGTTGTTGCTTAAATTATTCTTTTACATTTAAGGTAACTGGGACATTGACTTTTTATGCATCGGCACCTAAACCAGGGGTCTTTAACATTATAAAACGATAACTCTATGAATATTGCGACCTTTGAGTCACCACCACATGAAATCGCTGGACGTCATTACAGCCTTACAACATGTTTACACACACATTCCACAAACGGTGCTTTCACCCTTCAGCCTGGCTTTTCCCTGTCTTCGCTTCCCCCCCCCAGCGCCTGTTTCTTCTGATTGTGACTCGTCCTACTTCCTCGCCTCTTTCCTCCTTGTGCACACCTACTCGTTCTGTTGCTATATGGATGGAAGTTGCTTTTTCTATGTTTTTATCATCAACCAATGATACAAGGTATATTCATTGGTAAAACTATGACAAAGTTAGTTTGATATTTTCGGTGTATTTGTTCGAACAATTTAATTGACTGTAACTATAAAAATGTTTTTGACAATTTTACTATTTTCATGTTTGTTAAAATGTGTAATATGAACTACAGATATTATTTGTGTATATATTAAATATATATGTTATCACTTGTGTCTGAAAGAAAATGTTTTGTAAATAAAATGTGTGTTGTTGGTTTTTATTCCTGTTTTTTTTGTATTTTACCAAAAAATAATATATTTTCTGACATTAAAATAAATAAATAAATAAATAAATAATCAAGCTGAATACGAAGGGAGATTAATCTGTAATATATTACTGGACACTCATGAATCTGCAAAATAATACTAAGGGAGACAATTACACCGGGCTTACATGATACACATTTAACAGAATATATGCACTTTAACAAAATATTTTATCGATCTTAGAAAATACAAGCATTCGATCATTAAGGTCAATTAACAAAATTATTCTTCACACTTGATGGGCGACATCTCGGGATGTTTCTGCAAAAAATTGTCTCGGCCTAACGTACCGGTCTCGCCATTTTTTTTAGCAGAAACATCCTTTGATGTCGTTCTAGCCAGTGCCAGTGTCAACAAAGTCAACAAATAAATGTTGTCGTACCTGATATTAAGCAAAATTGCGCCTGATTTGTTTCCGTACGTATTTTAAGCGCGTCGGATTCTTTTAGTGGTTATGTGACATGTATAAAGAATACGTCACATATCTAAATATAGAACGTCAACTGTGACTCTATTGCATAATAGCACACACTTTCGATTCTTATTATATTCAATAGTGAAAATGCGGGTCGTGTTTGAATATGCAATAAAGTCACTTTTTTACGTTCTATATTTAGATATGTAACGTAACTACTAAAAATCCGACGCGCTGAAATTAAGTACGGAAACAAACCAGGTGCAATTAAACCTAATATTAGGTACCGCAGCATTTAATTGTTGATGTATGTTGTAGTTTTAGCAAGGCACCTGGTAAAGGTTTGATTTAATGATTTGATTTTGTATGAGAATTGAGACCTCATTTGTTGTCTATATTTATTACTATAAATCTGTTGGGGCTAGACTGTGTATCAGTCTGGGAGATTTTAGTATAGTAACTCTGTCAACAGTTACTTGCATAAATTATGGACAAGAGGTCTGCAATTGTTGTGTTTAGGGAACTCAATCATTGGTTACCATCATGAATAATCCAGGAATCAGTCTGTTTGTTTCTGGTACAGTTACTTGATCAACACTTGTCGTAATAAATATAGAAGGCTTAGATTTGTCAATTAACACTAAGGTAACCTCCAAATATGGAAAGTCAAGGTATTTCATATAAATACTGATTTTCTGGGGGCATTCAAGTTTCTAGATTGAAGAGTCAAGAATCAGGATTCGAGATTGAAGTTTCAAGAATGAGATCTTAAAAGTTAGATATAAAATTCTCAGTGACTTATCAACCATGTGTGAGGAAGAAACACTCTGTAACTTTAAATATTAATTGTAGATTAGAAATTTAGGACACTTTCAAATAAATAAATGGTGAAATGAAACGGAAAACAGTAACTGTTATTGTTTATTTTATGCAAATATGTGAAATTATGGAAGTAGTAGAAATCATAAATTACAAGAGAGAAGAATTTATAACATGTGTTAGAATCGAAATATTATATCCAAATCGGTGATTGTATCGCTTGATAACATCACTGTTTGTCGTTCGGATGCGCAGCGTTATATCACTCGGGCTAAGAAGAAGAAGAAGAAGAAGCTTTATTCTTTAATAAATCTAACATTACACAATTGACAAAGCCATTATAGCTCATAATCACATTTTTGGTATATAAACTTTTGAATTAATATTGGCATTAGTCAACAATAAATCTGTCAGTAAAGTAAACAAAAAATATATGTGAAAATAGTAAGATGTAGGAAACAGTATTCTTGCATATCAGACTGGCGTTTCCGTTAGTTTTTACCCATGCCGGAAATTTCATCTGGCATGGGGGGTTCCAGATGAGTCGCGTGCTGTGCAATGGCACGATAAAGATGACGTCATTTTACCGTTATGAATGATTTTGTAATTCATACGCTGTTGAATGAAAGTAGTTACGGTTGTAATGATATAAATTTTAATTGAAAATAAAGATAAAGAATTAAAAATATAATGGAATATGGTAGAATATGCAAGAAAAAATATCTGACATATGTTTGCGGTTCGGATCGGAATATCCGTCCCTCGGTCACCCGCCCATGGGCGGTAACTCGGCAAGCCTCGTTACCGCCCAATGGGCGGGTCACCTCGGGACGGATATTCCGATCCGAACCGCAAAATATGACAGATATTATTATACATGTACACTACTCTTACAAGATTTAAATGCTTTTGATTCGTAATTACTTCCCTTAAATTTCAAAATATCTAATACAAAAGAATGTGTCTGAAACTTTTTCTTAAAATGTGACTATTTTAAAATATTTGTTTTTTTTTTTCATAATTGAATCTTAAATGTTTATCAAGATTGATAAAAAATATAAACTAAGTATGAAACATTATTTTGCATCTTCTTATTTTTGGTATTATTTGTATAAACTATTTTCTAACATATCAGTACGTACTTACGTACGCACGTGCCGCGTGCGTACATACGTACGTATTTACATACAATAAATACATCTGTGTACCACACATGATATTTTACTTCTAATACATTATATGTATGTAACACTATACTATCTAAATATTATATCTACATCTTCTTATTTCAAATGCTTTATATACATATACAGATAAATTTCTTATTACTTTAACATTTTCTGATGAAAACAATTCTATCGTTTTAAACAGGCTTGGTTGAACTATGTAGTATCTATAATGTATTGATATATTTATCTCTAATTGTGTCATACATGTTACACTCAAAAAGGAAATGAAATTCGTCTTATAATTTATTACATGATATGCAAAGTCTATTTTCTCTTACAGTTCTATTCCATCGGCCACATTCTATATTTAATCGATGTGAGGATACTCTCAATCTACTTAATGCTGATATAATTCCCCGCATCCGAATTCCAAACAGTGATGTTATTGAGCGATAAAATGACTGTTTGGGATATATTATTTCTTAAGTCAGTATCAAACAAAATTGTTATATAAGCGGTTGTTTACCATGAAATACGGCAGTCTGCGAAAAACACACATAGTGAGGTTTACTCCATAATACACCACTAAAGCAAAAACGTTGTTTTTCAGCTGTGGTCAATCCAGATATCCTCCCGGACATATATTCGGACCCTTGTACAAATTGTTCGGTTGAAGCAATTTGAAATTATCATCTGCCTACGACATTTTCCCGGATTGATGAGAAACAATAATGCAGTCATTATATAATGAATCAAATATAGTGTTCTAATGTAATACTAGTATATATAACGGAAAATTCTTATGCTTGCCGTCTGATCTTATAGTTTTTTTGTATGTAGTGCTGTATTTTCTGTATATGTGTTTACGTTCATGTACTGCATTGTACTTGCAATCAGTTGTATACACTTGTATATGACTAAAGTCAAAAATGTTGCTGACTGATAAGTAACTAAAACTTAAACTGATTAACATGCTTAATTTTTTTATTTGCTTGCATTTCTAGTAATAGTTAAATCTGGAAATATGAGGACTATTATTTTCACAGCGAGAAGCAGATAATGATACTCTACATTAATATATAGGTACATAAACAAATATAAAAAATCTATAATAAGAAAAATCAAAAATATGAATGATTATTGGTTCAAAATAGAATAATTCATACAAATGCAAACGAATACATGCATCACTGAATAGACTTTTCTTTGTATAAAGATAGCACATATGTTAGTTTTCATTGAAAATCTTTTGTGTATTTTAAATTGAATTGTGATATTAATCACATCATTTCTTCTTTTTTTACGTATCATCATTTTAACTGAAATACTTTTATGCAACTACATGACTCGTTAATTCCACTTGTTTCAGAATAAGACACATAAAGTCTTCTTGTTTTCATACAGTATGCAATACCTCTCGGATACCATCTACCAAGTTTCTCATTTAACGTTATCTTACACGGCTTACAGCTGTCTGATATTCTACGTAAATTGTCGTCACTATCTTGACTCAAACAAACAAGAAATGTGCCATCATTTAATTCACAAATACCTCGTAGATTTCCTCCTCCCTGTGCTGGTTGATAGGTATTTATAACGTTCCCCTGCCAGTCTAGTTGTTTTACAGCCTTCACAGAATAACCCATGTCACTAACATATATAGACGTTCCAGCTGTATTCACGGTGACATACTGGGGATAGCAGAACAGACTATTATCTCCACTAAAACTTTGCAATATTTTACCTTGTAGGTCAAGAACTAAAACTTTTCCTGGATGATAATTACATGACACAACAAGCTTATCATTACTGTAAGCAATACCATAACATGTCTCATTGATATTCACCTTACGATCAGAAACTATGCGATGATTCTCTAGTGACATGAAATGAACGCATTCATCATTAGGTACAGTCACGACAAATCTAGCATCTGTAATAGCTGCAACATCATTCGGTGAATTATTTAGTTTTAACTCCGAAACAATTATCTTCTGTACTGTATCATACCATTTAACTTTGCTGTTATTATAATCACAAACCACCATCTTATTCGGCTGAATAACCTCTATCCCGGTCATGTCACATTTATTACTATCCGATGCAGATTTCATATCTATGTCCTCGACAACTTCAAGATTTAGAGACGTATCCTCGGTTGGTGTTGATGTATCTTTCATCATTGCATCATTTTCTCTATTGGACGATTTAACAGATAAAATTTCTCCTAACTGCTTATACTTTTCTAACATATCAATAATTGCCTGATGCTTGACAAAGCTTACTGTTTCATTATTGTTTATTCGACTTTGTTGTTTTGTCTTCATCTTCATTTGAATAAGTCGTTTCTTGGCTACTTTCATTTCAACATACAATTTGTCAAGACAATTTCTTTGTATCAGGTTATCTAAGCAAACTTGTTTCTGTACTGTTTCCTCTTTCATATCTTCTATTTCTGTTGACAAACTCTTCAGATGCATTTGTTTTTTATCAAAGATGCTCTCCGCGTTCTTGACAGCAATTTGTTCCATATCGTCCAGACGTGTATTTATTTCTTTTCTAAATTGATGAATTGCCTTTATAACCTTATCATGATTTTCAGAAATGGCTTTTATCTCATCTTTTGCTCTCTTTATACCTAATTTACAAACTTCCTCAAGTGATTTCATTTCCACCATTAACTCATTGAGTTCCTCACTGTCTAGAATATGTTTTGAAAGTTTAGGTATGTATTCCACCTTACAGGTCCTATGATCTAATGTGACACAAACACTGCAAACTACGATGTCGTGATCTCTGCAGTAATATTTCTGTTTTTCGTCTTGATGATCATCACAACTATCGAAGTCGTCTTGAGATATTGGAGCTGTAGGTGTTGTTGACATAGAGTCTTCGTCAAGAAGAACATGATTACGGGTAGGCGCTGGTTTCCTATGATGCTTATAACAGGTTTTACAAAGATGTTCATTACAAGTTGTACAGAACCCTTTAGCTGGAACCCGTTCACCATCTCTATCACATGGGATACAGAATAATACAAAATCTTCAGCAGACCCATGTGATACTGAATGTGTCAATTTAGTTTTTCGCTGGCCAGAAACTTCCATATTTATTCTACAATGTAAATTTCGGATTACTTCATTTATATTCTTGTTGATTACTATTTTACTCATGTAACATCAAAACAAATTAAATAATCAAAAGAGAAATGTACATTTAAAAAAAACTCCTTAAAAACACATTCTTTTTACTCAGTAGATGTATATTGATTTGTCACTTAAAATAAATTAATTATACCAGTTTTTAAAAAAGAAAAAAACATATTCCGATGATCAAACTGTTCTTTAAAGCTTCATTACTCAACATGAATCGACAAATTAAAAAAAAAAACTTGAGAAAAATGTTCTAAGATTTTAAAAAAGTTTTAAAAAAATTAAGTAACGATAATTTATTTTAAATTATCTATGAAAGGTCGCAAATTCGCAATAAAATGTCACTGAGCTTTAAAATAATGATAAGATATAAATATTTATTTTATCTCTACACAAAGATAAACGAGCCCGGGATATTAAACCGGTCATAAAATAATCTTCAAACTTATATAAACAAACAGGTTATAACATGTTTCCCACCTCTCTCTTTAAATTCAACTTAAAATACTATAATTTGTTATAAATATGATATATTTTTCCGTATTTTTATTTAGTGAATTAAAAGAAGAAAAGAGATAGTCATCCAACTTTCCTAAACGTATAATTACCAAATCATTAAGAAGATCGTTGTATTTTAATTTGTTGATTGAATGATGTGTATGTTTAACTTCTAGATCTACTTAATCAATATCATCTCATTTAAATAAAAATAATTATCACTGTTTTGTTAGATGAAAGAAAGAATTTAATAATATGAGTAACAAACCTTAAATAACCTCTCTTTTCCAAAATTAATATCTAGACATTTTCACTGCAAGTTTAACCTTCGCCGCCATTTTGTCCTCTGTTTTATCAGGTTTTGCGGCCGGAATGTGGAAGTTAAAATGTAACTTTGGCCAGGTATTTATCGATTTTAAATGTTAAACAAAAAAACGTGTTTGTGCAGATCTAAATAATGTCGTAAGACATATGTAATATTTACTTCTGTGGAAAGAAACAATATTAGCCCATATTGTTTTCTCTATCCTACATAATAAAGCCAACATGTATATAACGGAAATTATACTTTCATTGATTTGAAGGTACTAAATCGTTACGTAGTGGTTAAACAATGTGGCGCCGTTATATGTCGCAACGCCGTTCAATGTCGCACTTGCCGCTAAATGTCGCACCATTGCCGCTAAATGTCGCAACCGCCGCTTAATGTCGCAAAATCATTCGCCGTTAAATGACGCAATGTTAACGTTAAATGTCGCACGAATTTCCCTTACCGTTATATGTCGCAACGCCGTTCAATGTCGCACTTGCCGCTAAATGTCGCACCATTTCCGCTAAATGTCGCAACCGCCGCTTAATGTCGCAAAATCATTCGCCGTTAAATGTCGCAATGTTAACGTTAAATGTTGCACGAATTTCCCTTACCGTTAAATGTCGCAACACTACCGTTCAATGTCGCAAGATGTAAATTCATGTTAAAATCATGATTAAAAGTAGTATTATAATAAAGTAGTATTATAATACTTTTTAACATTCTCATAGTTTTTTTATTGTAATTGCCATTACACAAACAATTTCTTTGTTTTACTTGTTTTCTTTTATGAACCTAAATATCGAGGTTTGAGCTGCTATATAGAAAAGATACAATTGATATTGAATTCTCAAAAGATAAGTATTTTTCTTTTGTCTCCCATTTTCATTTGTTACTCTGATTGACAACATATTAAAGGTATTATTATATTGTTGCTCTCAGAATATGCTTTAAGTAGTTTCATTTATTTTCTCAGAAACTACCGAATTTACTTTAAACGTGGTTTACTTGTTCACTTTGATCATATACACCGTAGGGAACGTGTTACAGTATCGCGTTTTTCGGTTACAGTATAGAATTTTCAAGATGGAGGATTAATTATGGGAAGAGATGTAGGTGATTTTTATTCAGGTCCATACTACTAGTAGTTTAGTTTCTAAAAGATGTTTTTGTGCTTTGCTTGTAAGGAACAGAATCCGGTATCTAGTCATATATTTCTTCAGACCCTGCACCGCAGATTTATCTCTATATTGTCTCAAAAATGTGCAGATTTGAAGGTTTAAAAATTTGAATCGAGAGACCAACGCATTTTTTTCCAATACCGACATTATTTAAGCATGCCTAGATAAAGTAAATCTACAAAACGTTAGTCCTTTGTGTTTAAAAACGTTTATTAAAGTAAATGACCGGTTGGACCTATTTTCCTGTTGGTAAAATGCGTTTGAAAAAATAAACAATGTTACAGTATAGAGCGAGGTTAATTTTGAAGGGTTACAGCATAGACCTAGCGACTTTGATTCAATTTTGTTACAGTTTATACTCAGATTTCGGTTACAGTTTAGATACTTGCCAAATTTCAAACAAAGTTCGTGTATCCATGTATTACTTTTTTTCTTCAGAAGAAAAGTTTGCTATTTTTCTTACTTTAAGTTTCAGATTGAGACTTTTTGCAGAATAGGGCCTAAGTAAGGACTGTTTTCACGACAACAACAGTAACTTTTATCGAATTGTATTGAGAGAAGAAAGAGTATTGCTTGATTTCATAACACATTAAAATAATACCTATTAGTAATAAAATAGACAAAAAAGAATCCTTAACAGAAGTCCAACACAGAAAACATGAAAATGTTGCAGGATCAGTTTGATTGATTAAACCTGTTCATGGACGGTAGTGGTAACTGCAAGCTACCGTCCACGCCTCCTAGCACTGGCTTCAGCAGAATTCACATTAAACATGAACTGGTACACTTTAGATTTTTTAACATCTGTGGATGTTTTCATATGGCGGTTATCATGGAACCTTCAATGTGACACGTTATTGCCATTCTATGAAAAGCGGCATATTACCACCAGGTTAAAAATTGTGTGTGCCCTAAACGAGAAAACAATGAGTGAAACTAAATAAAATGAAATATTGAGAGCGGATCGGAGGTTATGAAGCCTGCATACCATAGATAAGCTGTCAAAAGACAAAATTAACAAGCAGGCAATACCCTAAGAATGATTAAACAGTATTTAAGTGAGCAATATTTCAACCTTAAATTTTATTTTAAGTTGGAATTTCCATCTACCATAATGTATTTTGTAAGTATTTAAAAGGGCTTGTTACGTTTGGCTTTCTTGGATTTTAAGTTTCAACGACACTGAGGTCATGTGAAACATTCCTGCTTTAGTGTAAAGAAAGACCCCAGATACCCTTTATGAAATATTTCAGACACGAGCGGGCACCTGACTAGAACCACCGACATTCCGTAAATTAGCTTGATAGATTCCTCACATACAAAGAATCCAAAGTCATGATTGGATTTCAACTACAGCAGTAAATGAAAGATAGTTTGAAGTCGACGGCCTTATCCCGACTCTGCCACTTTTATATGTACCTCCATCAGGCTCACTATAGAAGATATTGTAATTTTCTGACCTTAATTTATACTCTATAACTTTCAATTTCAGAAACATGAAAACTGTTATACAGAATGTCTGAAATAAGAAAAATCGAGTTTTAATTTAATTTTATATATATGCAAGTTGATATATGTGATAACATTGTATATGTATATGTCTATTCCCTGAATAAATCGATACGATGACAAAATAATCGTAAATTCAACAAAGAAGCATTCGAAATGACGCCATGATCATGATTTGATTTGAATGCCTTTAGTTCGAGACGAGAAGGGTCTTTAAACATTGCCTTTTTTCAAAATCTGTGTTTTGGGTTTTCGTATCCCCGATTGCAACCGAAACCATTTGAACAACTAATTGGTAGAAAGTCATGTAAATTTCATCACATTTAGTCAAGTAGTTACTGAGCGGATGAGATTGAACACACATGTGTACGACAGACGGACGAATAGCCATCGGGCCAATGAGCTCACAGAGATTTAAAAGTCTATGTAACATTCATACATTTTACCTAGTATATATAGAAAATATCGGAGTCTAAACTGTAACCGAAATCTGAGTATAAACTGTAACAAAATCGGATAAAAATCGCTAGGTCTATGCTGTAACCTTGCACAAATCACCTCGCTCTATACTGTAACATTGTTTATTTTTTCAAACGCATTTAACGAACAGGAAAATAGGTTCAACTGGTCATTTTCTTTTATAAACGTTTCCAAACATAAAGGACTAACGTTTTGTAGATTTACTTTTTCTAGGCATGCTTAAATAATGTCGAAATTGGAGAAAAATGCGTTGGTCTCTCGATTCAAATTTTCAAACTGTCAAATCTGCATATTTTTGAGACAATATAACGATAAATCTGCGGTGCAGAGTCTGAAGAAATATATGACTAGATACCGGATTCTGTTCCTTACAAGCAAAGCACAAAACATCTTTTAGAAACTAAACTACTTGTAGTATGGACCGGAATAAAAATCACCTACCTGTCTTCCCAACAAATAATCCTCCATCTTGAAAATTCTATACTGTAACCGAAAAACGCGATACTGTAACACGTTCCCTACGGTGATATATGATGCAATATCAATTGGCAGATAATCCGAGTTATATTTTGCAAAAATATGCCCCTTATTTCTCTACGATGTTTTCGCTCTGATTAACCTTTTGGTGACGGCTAATTTCAAACATATTTACTTTAAACTTTAAATACTTATTTCATATAAAAGTAAACTACATTTCTAAAGGACAGATGATCCTGAAAGGTATATTTGCTAAATAATCTCCCTTTTTTATATCCCCCCTCCCAAAGAAAATCACAAATATTCACTTCAAACTTCCAATATTGATTGAATATGAAGGCAAAAATTTCATTTTATCAACAACGGCAATACGTGAAAAACACGCTTAGTATGAAATGCACGGTCAATACGAGAATCGAAAAAAATTATCATGTTGTACTCCTTGATCATGTAGTTCTCCTCACAGGTTTGCCGATCCGCAGTCTGGTTTAAATATGAGTGAATTTCACGATAAGCACATATTATATGCACCGGTAGTTTTAAAAGCAGATGTCAAAGTTAGAAAAAGTACACAAGATTTTGTACATTTTACCATTTGTCAAACACTATTTACGCTTTGACATTGTGGCAAGTGATACTTTACTAGCCAAGTCGCTTTATACTATGAAAGATTCTCAGTAAATATCATATTATTAGAATATAAACAATTGGTCAAGCTCATATTGGCCTTGCTATTTAGCTGAAGACAGCAGATAATGTATGATTTTTGTATCTTTTTTTTTTTGCTGTAATGAAAATCTTAATCTGTAACGCTTCATTAAAAATATTTCAATGAAATTAAATCTGACATGTTTCAAAAAAACACAAGACATACATTATACATATGTAACGACGATATTGGTTAGATATCTGTAACCACTTTTATGCTCGTAGTTTTTTGTCACGAGTTTGATTTGAACTTTTTATAAAACTGTTTGTGTGAACTTCATTCCACAAATAAAAATCTATTTTAGCATTTGCGACCATGACACATTGATCCCTTCCTCAATCAAAAGGAAACTCCTAAGGCCCAGGTCGTCAGCAATTTAGGCCTTCTCTTCCGACTGCGAGACAATTTGGCTCATCAGACTGCCACCTCGGGCAGCCAGGCGTTAGGCTGTCTCTTCTGCCAATTTTACTGACATGTTTGTACAAAACTATTTACAGAACAATGCCAAATTTGCAGTTACATACAAATAGTATCATCAATATGTACTTGCATAAGATCAGCTAATAATCGACGCAAAACAATATACATGTATTTACAAGATAAGTATTATCGTCGCCTAAATTGTAGCGCAGTTCCATATATAATAAATTCACTAACTTTCAAACTGACAAAATTCGTCTTGATTAAGCAGATTTAATTAATTTGATACAACAATAAAACTTGCGATCATCATAAAATTACATATTGCGACATTTAACGGTAGTTTTGCGACATTTAACGGTAAGGGAAATTCGTGCGACATTTAACGTTAACATTGTGACATTTAACGGCAAATGATTTTGCAACATTTAGCGGCGGTTGCGACATTTAGCGGCAATGGTGCGACATTTAGCGGCAAATGCGACATTTAGCGGCGTTGCGACATATAACGGCGCCACAACAAGTTCATCCACTTATTCAATTATACATGTATATAGAAAAGGTTACGTTTACCTTTTTTAGAATTATACAAGAAACAATACTTGCCGTGTTAAATATTCATCTTTTATTCTTGAGTTATCCGTGTGGTTTAGTTTATGTCGGGTAAAATAAGAACATAATGCGTACATAATTGAACTGATTATGGCATGGACTTCATGCATGTATTCTTCTGCCAATTTTTTGAAAGTAAATAAAAACTTACAAAACAAATAAAATAATACATATATTATAATTGCAAGACTTAGGTGAAATGAATAGTTTCATTTCACGTGCGATGAACGTTTCTGCACGTGGAGAATAAAACTAATCTCAAAATAAATATCCCGCGCATGTGTCGCTCGACTGATGTTAGTCAAAGAATGGGATAAAATAAATTAATTGTTTAAACATGATAAAAATAAAAAGTCCTTTGCACAGCTTTTGTATACCGAAACAATTGTACTGGTCTGGGTTGCTGAAAGCAGTTCCGCGTTTTAAGTCACTATTTTCCAGTTTATACTTTATTCACGCACCTGTCTAACATAATTCTTTATATGAGCCGCGTCATGACAAAACCAACATACATGGTTTGCGACCAGCATGGATCCAGACCAGCCTGCGCATCCGCGCAGTCTGATCAGGATCAATGCTGTTCACTTACAAACTCTATAACCGATAGCGAACAGCATGGATCCTGATTAGACTGCGCGGATGCGCAGGCTGGTCTAGATCCATGCTGGTCGCAAACCCATTATGTTGGTTTTGTCGTGACGCGGCTCATATTATGCACTAGAATAGTATACTTTTTAAGAGTTTATTATAGGAATTCTTCTATCGAAAACCTCAGAGATCTGGGAGTCTGAGAGAAGGGTAGGTGCGATGGAGGGACGGTGGGGGATCCTCTACATATCTACATTTGACGTTAATTTCAACAAATTCACCCCGCGTGTTACCTTCATGATTTTATTTCACGTTTGATAAAGTGTTGTCGCCTGCAAAACCGTTTATTACAAACATATTTTACAAATCTGAGTATACTATAAAAAACGTAATAGCAGCACATTACACGTTGGAAAAAATAGAATAATCCTGGTATGACGTCATGAACGCAGAAGACGTTAAATATATCAGACGTTAGATCTATCAGACGTTAGATATATCAAAAACATTGTCAAGTGTGACGCTAAATTGTAACATTTTTTTCTATTAGCAACAGATTCTAAAGGACAGAAACACGAGAGTAGAGAGCATAGTAAACTTGAATCAGACAGCTCTGTCGCCAAGTTGGACTTACAATTTATAACAAATCATTCGCGGCAGGTATAAAATATATGTTGCTGTTGTTGTTTTTTTGCCTGCTTATTTATTTTTTATTTATATATTGATTTATGTTTTGCCGGCCTTGGTTTGCCTTTGAATAATGTCGTTTTATTTCTTTTCGCTCATTGGTTTCCTTTTTAGGGCGCACTTATTATTTTACGTGAGACACATCTGCGGATATTTCTTAATTCAGATTGTCACCATTCCATGCCTAAATGATGAATTCTGCCTTCGGGGCGCGGACGGTAGCTTTGCATTTACAACAATCGCCCATGAATAGGTTCAAAACAAAATATTACTCAGCAAAGCCTTTTACATATTCAAATACCAGTCAGATTAAAATGCGACTTAAGAATTGTTTAAACCAACAGAAATCTTCATTTATTCTTCATGTGTACATATTTCCTGTTAACAACGCGCATTCCATTTTCCGAAAGAAATTAAACAATTTAGGTGCATATGAAGTGTTCATATAATTTGACGGTTTCCTTATTGTATATGACGGTTTCTTTATTGTAAAAAGTTTTCATATAATGTTTATTTGTTAAGTATGCGTAAAAAAAATTGTATGAATGCTATTTTGGTATAGAGAAGGAGTGTTTGACAAAACAATCAAATATGGTGTGTTATAGAACCAAATCTTAATTGACAAATAGAACAGTTGTTATTGTTTGATGATGTTGTTTTTTGTGTGTGTATTTTTTATATTGTTAAGAAAGCCACATTTAAAATTTAAATATGTTGCATGATTTTTACGATGGTGTTTCTGCGTTACTTTCTTTAAAGATATACTATGCTCATCCTCTAGTAAAATATTTTTTATCACAGAAATTTATTGATATATGAAATTCTTCCTGAATATGTCTTATTTGAATAAAAGAATATATAAACTATGAATTGGAGGCTGCTTTCCCTATTATATGTCAAGTAAAGTTTTTTTTTTAAAGCCAGTTTTTTAATGACGATAATATTTATAGGGTGACCACCTATAATGTGTAGATTTTAAAACATATATATTTACTTTAAAGTCAAAACATGTTTAATATATATTTATAAAGAGACTGTGTAGAATTATCAATATTTTCTAATATCAAATTTGAGCATAGTTTATCTTTAAATAAAGATATTATTATTATTATATAATATGACGGTTTCCTTACTGTTTCAAAAACAATGCCGACCGTCGTGTGTTTAGAGGTCTGGCGACGTGGACGTGACCCTATAACTGGAACAAGATGAAAATAAGCTTTACTTACTCAACTCTAGAAGAATGTGCTTTCCTGCAAAGTTGCATCGATATCAATATGCGCCAAAATCTAAATAACAAAAAAAAATCTAATCTGAAATATGGTCAACCTTTTACATGCCATGCCAATTTTCAAGATGCTTCTCAATAGTCCGCAAAGTGTCGCATTCTACCTATAAGGCCTCCATTTAGTGCGATCATTTTTGTTCGATTTGATCCGATGTTTGAACACAAATCAATTCATTTTATTCATTCATTCACAAAAATAGCCCATTTTATGTCAATCTTAGTCGCTTTTATGAAATAACGGCTCTGTAACGATATTTGTAGAAATATTGTCTCTCTATCAATTATTCAAGCATAATGTTTATCATTTTGGATGAAAAATGTTTGTGTTAAATAAAATTTATTAAAAATGATAATAACAAAAGTATTATTATCTTTAACGTATACATTTGTTTTGTATTTGTAAAATGATTTAATATCTATAATTTGCATTGTAAACATTTAAACATTGTATTATAAATTGTATTTGCATAATTTATTTGTTCATTTAAATTTAATTAATACTTATAAAGACTGTACACCTTTTAAATGATAGAAACATGTTAGAAGACGAATACCATTTGCATTACAACCGTTAGATCAGTGTTGGCGTATTATTCAGCTTGCTATAGAAAATGGCGATCAAATGTTGATCAATTATTCAGTTTCAAAGTGCTTGTATAAGGTGATTAAATGATAGACTTAAATTAAGTGGATCTGATTTAAGTAAAACTATTTAAGCACGGAATATGATAAAAATATAGTGTTAAGTTTAGTTCTATATTTATCATCCCACGTGGTATATATTGTCATTGATATTCCTTTATTGCATTGACTTATTGGATGAGATTTTGTCATATACGTACCTTTACATGTCTTTGTTAACTTGTAGGAATCTTGATGTTTCTGTATACAAGTGATATCTTAAATGCATTGCATATTGTGATGTTGGATAAATGAAAATATTTCACCAATGTTCATTGTTATATATAATGTATCTGCTTTTTTGCTTTTTTGATTTGTATATATGTCCATGCTCTTCAATTTTGGAGGAAATAAAAGTATCTAACTAAGAAAAGAAAGACTTTACAACAATAACTAGTAGACTTTGTTGTTAAGTTGCATAATAACTTATGAATCATTTCAGTAAGGCAATTACGCTTTTAAATTATGGTTATACATCAATATTATATATTAAACATTACTGATTAGTTCTATAAGCCGTTCATATCAGTTTTGTTTCACATGTATAGTCTCAGTCTATATAGCATTGTTTTGAATAAATAAACACTTTAGTTTAGCGATCAATATATACATGTATGTAAATGTATAGTTGAAATGTTTATGCTCACAATTATTCCTCTTAAAATCAAAACATCTTCTATAGCTAAATTTACCTGCTAATTATTGTATGTTGTTCTTTTGTTTTGTTTCGACAAAAATATTTTACAAGGATATCCAACTTATGAAAGTTGAAAAGGTGCCTTTTGTAGACCAATCAACTTTGATGTACTTAAACGACTTTTTCATTTGGTGGTATACTTAATAAAGTACCTGTTCTGTTCTCTTTTTTTATTTCCATTTTTTTTTATAAATTGTGTCCACTGTTTGTGAAGTCACGTGACAAATTTGTGATATTTTAAGTGTAGAATATATTAAAAAACACGATTTTAAAAATGTAGTTTACTTCTTTTATTATTATCTGCTTTTAATCTCTGATAGTATATATTGGTATAAAAATAAAGAAATAAAAGAATAAACATCCATGATTTTAATTTTCTCACGGAAGAATAAAAATTTCACTTGACTTTCGTTATTCATACGTAAGATTTTTTTGCTACAAATTTTTGTCTACTGAATACTTGAAGTGTAAGTAACATAACGTTAAGAGTAATTAGTTTCCTTCTTAAAGTTATGACTATGTTGTGCATCCATCCATCCATCCATCCATCCATCCATCCATCCATCCATCCAGCCAGCCAGCCATCCATCCATCCATCCATCCATCCATCCATCCATCCATCCATCCATCCATCATTAATTAATTAATTAATTAATTCATACATTCATTCATTCATTCATTCTTTCATTCAATCAATCAATCAATCAATCAATCATTCATTCATTCATTCATTCATTCATTTATTATTCATTCATTCATTTATTCATTTTAATTAATTCATTCATTCATCCATCCATCCATCCATCCATCCATCCATCCATACATACATCCATCCAATCATAAAATCAATAAATCAATCAATCAACCAATCAATCAATCATTCATTCATTCATTCATGCATTTATTATTCATTCTTTCATTTATTATTCATTCATTCATTTATTCATTTTAATTAATTAATTTATTTATCAATTCATTTATTTTTGCAACCTAACACTACCGTTGGTAACACACTTTGTAAATTTCAGGCTCCTAGTTTCACTCGAGAGTAAAAATGTAACATTCACAATAACTGGATACCATATTACTTATTTTTCAATGAATAAACCATTTATGTTTGGGTTTTTGCAACAAAATATTTTTACAAATTCGCTTAACTTGGTCTTATAATAAATTAAGTTTTGCAATAATTTTTATTAAGAAGAAGAAAATAGATTATCACGGTACAATATTTCGTAACATACAGAAATTACAAGTACAATAATTATGTGGTCACGTGACAAAAGCATAGAAAAAATAATAGTAAAAATACTTAGTGCTCGCCAATTTTTTTAAGCCAATCACCGACGAGGATTTTTCAAATTTTCAGGTTTCAAATCTTAATAGAACAGATTTTATATAAACTGGACGTTTTATATTATAAAACGCAAGTGGGCGGAGCACTAAGCCGGTTAGAGTGCATATTGGATGTTCTTCGTAAATAAGAAAGCTACAGTCGCTTCGCAAGCTCCGCTCCTTTTTAGCTTTCTTATTTACGAAGAACACCCAATATGCACTCTAACCTATACTTAAAAAGTTCAACTACATGTATTGACATTCAAGAAAATTTGTTGTAAGTTTGTTTCACAAGGAGAACAAACAGCTGCAAATATATAAATTTGAAAGAAAATCACTTTAAAGATATACTGCAAAAAAAAAAAAAAATAATAATAATAATAATTCCTTTGCAATGACGAGATCATTATTACATTGTAATATTATTTCCTTGAATTATATTAGGAAGATATTCAAGTTTATTTTTATAAATACAGGATTTATTTTCATCGAGTGGTATGAAAATAAATATTTCATGCATGGCAATAGCCACGAGTGAAATATGATAATTTTCATTCTACAAGAAAAAAAAACTTGAATTTTCTGTTTATTATATACATTTTTTCTCTGTTTTGATGCATCAATTTGAAAGACTTGTACTTAAATTTTGAATATTGGCTTAATTTAGAAGAAAGAAGTCCGGCAAGACAGCAGTGAAAATACGGAAAATATGTTTCACTGCAGTGAAAAATAAGTTTTATAGTGAAAATACGGAAAACAAAAATACGCATTTAATTTCATCATATTTCTTAATATTTCATTTATAAGTGTATAATAAATAGCATTTTTGAAATAATTTTGTTTATTTCAGCGACGTCAGAGGACGTCATTTACACCATGCCAGCTTTCAGCACTAGAAGAATTATTTGCGCGGACACATTATCCTGACATATTTGTGAGGGAGGAGTTAGCAGCAAAAATTAACCTGTGTGAGGCCAGGGTACAGGTAAATTTACTTCTTTGATAATTTAGCTTTAAACATATATTATTGTACTAAACAATGTAATAAAAGTATTTTACCTTAATATAGTACACTACTTGTGAGGCCAAGGGTACAGGTAAAAACATTATTGATATTTTTATACAAAATTTGGCCTTATAAATGAAGTATTGTACTTAACAAGCTAAATACAAAATATAAAGAATTCTTAAGCTAAATGCAGCAAATACAGTAACACATTTGTGAAGCCAGAGTACAGAGAAAGAAAAAAACAACATTAGTGATATTTTTTATATGAAATTATGAAATTTAGCTTTTGAAACTGAAGTAACGTAATTATGACAAAAATAATTTTTAACTATTCTTTGAATAATTTTACCTAACTCGGATTTATTGGTAATAAAATACGTTTAAAGAATCAGTAGCTGTAATAAAGTTCCGATATTGATATTTATTCACCTCTCCTATCGCAATTCTGATCCGAAAAGTAAAATATAGATCTTTCAATATTGTTAAAGGTGTGGTTCCAAAACAGAAGAGCAAAATGGCGGAAGGAATTACGTAAGACCGGAAGCAATGCTGCTTTACGTTACTACAATCACATGCCGATAAATGACAGTGTCGCGGCAGATTTGAACAGACGATTACGTCAGAATGCCACGTGCGCGCCGCCGGTTATGCCGCCATTTCTTGGTGGTATGGCGCTTCACGAGAATTCCATGCAAGATTTTTGGTATTCTCACGCTCTAAGATACTCTGGACTTTTTGACAGGTTAGTGGTTGTTTTTGTTTATTGTTCTATTTTAAGAAAAAGAACTTTGTTGTGTATTCTAATGTATAGACAATCATTGTGTTGCTAATGATTAAAATCAGCCGATTAAATTTATTAAACCAATAAAATTACCACATAGTAGATAGTAGCCTGGGTTCTAGTGTGTCGGATTTTTTTATGTTTCTGTTTGGTAAATTGATACTATCAAACCGACGAACGAATATGGAATAGCGCATATGTTATGAATAAAGAAAAGAAAATGTTATAAATATGCAAAAACTATCAACGCCTGAATCCCAGGTTAAGTAGATAGAATCATTGAGCAATTAACGCGGCAAAAAAGCTCCGCCTTGTATCATTTCTATATTGTGTATTATTTGTTTGTTGAGGTTTAATTTATTTTAATTTATTTTTATTTTCATTTTCTATGTATGGTTTTCCATGTTTCATAGTAAGATATATTTTCCATATCAAAGGTACCTGGTATAGCTTATTTTATTCATGTAAGACACTCATTCTTAAAAATTTATGTTTCTTGCAGAGTGCCACCTGGCGGCGATCTTCGGAATCAGCATCATCATAATTTGCACACGCCACCAAAGTGAAACCCCATCTTGTGATACGTCACCAAAATGAAACTCGATCTTGGCTGTTGTCACTTGCCGGTGTCTTGTTGAAAAAAATAACAAAAAAGCATTTGACTATTGGGTGTTGGGGATTTGCCAATCCGATTAAAATACATCTGTAACTAATTTTATATTACAGGGTGAAGCAGCGAAATGTTTCATTTTTATTTTGGAAAATATTTGTATTGTATGCATTTATAAAAAAGGTCAAATTTTATATACATTTGTATCTGTAGTGGTTGGAATTACAATTTTGTATATTTTGTCGAATGAAATCGTCCTATTTTTCACATTCTTTGATATATTTAACTTATCTAATCAAATGGTTAGTAAAAGGCCCTTTATACCTCAGAAATCTTCTTACTTTTATTTCTCAAAGCTTTTTTATTTTTTGTTTACTTATATAGTTTCCAAAATGTTACTCATTGGTCAATAAACATCTTCTCGTTCTGTTGCTATATCGATGTAAGTTGCTTTTTTGTAAGTTTTTATCATCAACCAATGATACAATGTATATTCATTGGTAAAACTATGAAAAAATTAGTTGATATTTTAGGTGTGTTTGTTTGACTGTCACTATAAAATGTTTTGACAGTTTTTACATTTTCATGTGGGTTAAAATGTGCAATATGAACTACAGATATTATTTGTGTATATATTAAATATATATGTTATCACTTGTGTCTGAAAGAAAATGTTTTATAAATAAAATGTGTGTTGTTGTTTTTTATTCCTGTTTTTTTATTATACCAAAAAATAATATATTTTCTGACATTAAAATAAATAAATAAATAAATAAATAAATAAATAATGCCGCAATCAAGCTGAATACGAAGGGAGATTAATCTGTCAGTCTTACCAATACATTACTGGACAATACGTCTAAGGGAGACAATTACAATTTTATTCAACGAGTGCAATAAATTTAGTAATGAAATTACACGAATTTAATATTCTATTTATCACATACCAAAAATAAAGACCGTTTAAAGTGAAATAAGAGTCATTTTACATTGACGCGCCTATAGTATAACGCTAACATTTAGCGCGTCTTTACACTATGTTTGTATAACGCTAATTAATGACGTCACGTCAAAATATATGCACGGCCGTGCAATACCATATTTACGGAGTCGCAAAATCAGCACGGCTGTGTGATAAATAGAGGATATTGAATGAGTGTAAGTTCAATACTGAATTTATTGCACGAGTTGAATAAAATTATATTATGCGAGCCTCTGGCGAGCATAATGTTATTTTATTCAACGAGTGCAATAAATTCAGTAATGTACTTACACGAATTTAATATTCTATTTACCCATACCCAAAAGAAAGACCGTTGAAAGTGAAATAATAGTCATTTTTCATTGACGCGTCTATAGTATAACGCTAACATTTAGCGCGTCTTTACACTATGTTTGTATAACGCTAATGACGTCACGTCAAAACATATGCACGGCCGTGCAATACCATATTTACGGAGTCGCAAAATCGGCACGGGTGTGTGATAAAACCTAATATTAGATACCGCAGCATTTAATTGTTGATGTCGTGTTAGAATCGAAATAATATATCCAAATCGGTGATTGTATCGCTTGATAACATTACTGTTTGTCGTTCGGATGCGCATCGTTATATCAGTCGGGCTACGCCCTCGTGATATAATTCCCCGCATCTGAGAGATAAAATCATTGTTTGGGATATATTATTTCCTTAGTCAATATCAAACAAAATTGTTGTATAAGCGGATGTTTACCACGGAAATACGGCAGTCTGCGATAAACACACATAGTGAGGTTTACTTAGTAATACACCAATTAAGCAAACACGTTGTTTTCAGCTGTGGTCAATCCAGACAGCCTCCCGGATTGATACCCTCCCTTGTACAAAATGTTCGATTAAAACAATTTGAAATTATCGTCTGCCTGCGACATTTTCTCGGATTGATGAGAAACAATAATGCAGTCCTAATGAATCAAATACAGTGTTTGAATAATTATATATATAGAAAAACGGAAAATTCATAATTATGCTTGCCGTCTGATCTTATAGATTTTTGTATGTAGTGCTGTATTATCTGTATATGTGTTTACGTTCATGTATTTGATTGTATTTGCAATCAGTTGTATACACTTGTATATGACTAAAGTCAAACATTTTGCTGACTGATAATTAACTAAAACTTAAACTGATTAACATGCTTAATTTTTTTTATTTACTTGCATTTCTAGTAATAGTTAAATCTGGAAATATGAGGACTATTATTTTCACAGCAAGAAACATATATTGATATTCTACATTAATATGAAGGTACATAAACAAATATAAATATCTAAAATAAGAATAATCACATGATATTCTACATTAATATGAAGGTACATAAACAAATGTAAAAATCTAAAATAAGAATAATCAAAAATATGAATGATTATTGGTTCAAAATAGAATAATTAATACAATACAAACGAATACGTGCATCACTGAATAGACTTTTCTTTGTATACAGATAGCACATATGTTAGTTTTAATTGAAAATTTTGTGTGCATTTTAAATTGAATTGTGATAATTAATCACATCATTTCTTCTTTTTCTAAGTATCATCATTCCAACTTAAATACTTTTATGCAACTAAATGGAGCGACAAATTCACTTGTTTCCGAATAAGACACATAAAGTTTTCTCGATTTCTTACAGTATGCAACAGCACTCGGGTACCATCTACCAAGTTTCTCATTTATCGTTATTTTACACGGTTTACAGCTGTCTGATATTCTACGTAAATTGTCGTCACTATCTTGACTCAAACAAACAAGAAATGAACCATCATTTAATTCACAAATATCCCGTAGATTTCCTCCTCCCTCCGCTGGTTGATAGGTATTTATAACGTTCCCCTGCCAGTCTAGTTGTTTTACAGCCTTCACAGAATAACCCCAGTCACTAACATATATAGACGTTCCCGCTGTATTCACGGTGACATGTTGAGGATTGGAAAACAAACTATTATCTCCACTAAAAGTTTGCAATATTTTACCTTGTAGGTCAAGAACTAAAACTTTTCTTGGATTAACACATGACACAACAAGTTTATCATTGCTGTAAGCAATACCACGACATGTCTCATTGATATTCACCTTACGATCAGAAACAATGCGTTGTTTCTTTAGTGACATGAAATGGACGCATTTATCACTAGGTACAGTCACGACAAATCTATCATATGCAATAGCTGCAACATCATACGGTGAATTATTTAGTTTCATCTCTGAGACAATTTTCTTCTGTTCTGTATCATAACATTTTACGTTTTTGTTTCTACGATCACAAACTATAATTGTATCCGGCTGAATAGCCTCTATCCCGCTTATGTCACATTTATTTCTATCCGATGCGGATTTCACATTTATGTCCTCGACAACTTTAAGATTTAGAGTCTGATCCTCAGGCGGTATTGATGTATCTTTCCTCATTGCAATATTTTTACTATCGGATGATTTAACAGATACAATTTTACCTATTTGCTTATATTTTTCTAACACATCAATAATTGCCTGATGTTTGACAAAGCTTACTGTTTCATCATTGTTTATTCGATTATGTTGTTTTGCCTTCATCTTCATTTCTACAAGTCGTTTCTTGACTGCTTTCATTTCAACATACAGTTTGTCAAGACAGTTCCTTTGTATCAGGTTATCTAAGCATACTTGTTTCTTTACCGTTTTGTCTTTTATGTCTTCTATATATGTTGACAAACTCTTCAGAATCATTTGTTTTTCATCAGAGATTCTCTCCGCGTCCTTGACAACAATCGTTTCCATATCATCCAGACGTGTATTAATTTCCTTTCTGAATTGATGGATTGCCTTTATAACCTTATCATGATTTTCAGAAATGGCTTTTATCTCATCTTTTGCTCTCTTTATCCCTAATTTACAAACTTCTTCAAGTGATTTCATTTCCGCCATTAACTCATTGAGTTCCTCACTGTCTAGAATATGTTTTGAAATTTTAGGTATGTATTCCACCTTACAGGTCCTATGATCTAATGTGACACAAACACTGCAAACAACAATGTCGTGATCTCTACAGTAATATTTCTGTTTTTCGTCTTGATGATCATCACAGCTTTCGAAGTTGTCTTGAGATAATGGAACGGTAGGTGTTGTTGGCATGCAGTTTTCATCAAGCAGAACATGATTGCGTAAAGGTGCTGGTTTCTTATGATGTTTGTAACAGGTTTTACAAAGATGTTCATTGCAAGTGGTACAAAACCCCTTAGCTGGAACCCGTTTACTATCCCTATCACATGGGATACAGAATAATAAAAGATCTTCAGCTGACCCATGTGATATTGAATGTGTCAATTTATTTTGTCGCTTGCCAGAAACTTCCATTATTAATTCTAGAATGTAAAATTTTAATTACTTCATTTAAATTTTTGGTGATTATAATTTGACTACATCAAATCAAATATTCAAAAGAGTGAAGCTTACAAAGTTACCTGCAGACCTATTTTATTTACTCTGTATATTAATTTCATAATCAAGATAATTATTAAAAACGGAAACAGCATTTTCCGATGTTAATATTTAATTCGATCAATTACATTAAAATGAGCTTGTTTTAGATAATGTTGTTTTATAGCTGCATAATTCCAGACGAGTCAATGAATTTTAAGAAAAATCAAACTTTAGAAAACTGTACTAACATTTTAGGAAAATTTAAACAGTTCGAGATTCACGTAGTAATGTACATGCCATGTGCGATTAACAATTGATTTTTGCAGTATTTATAATTATATTTGCATATTTTGACAACATAATACCTTAATATAGATATTTAACCTACCATGAAGTTATTTCAAACTTGTATTACCAAACAGGTTATAACATGTTTCCCTCTTCTCCCTCAGTCCTTATCAATCCAAATTAAACTTTAAATAATGTTACTAATAATAAATAAACCTATACATTTCTGTATTTTTACTTAGTGAATTTAAAAAAAAGAATAGATAGTCATCGAACTTTCCTCAACGTTTAATTACCGAATCATTAAGAAGATTGGATTTTGATTTGTTGATTGAATGTGTATGTTTAACTTCTAGTCCTACTTTGTCAATAAAATCTAATTTAAATAAAAATAATAATCATTGTTTAGGTAAATGAAAGGAAAAATGTAAAAAGAATAAGTAACAAACCTTAGATAACCTATCTTTTCCAATCTTTAAATCTAGACATTTTTCACTGCAAGTTTAACCTTCGCCGCCATTATGTCCTCTGTAATATCGGGTATAGCGGCCGGAATGCGGAAGTTTAACAGCGTACAAAATCAATATTAAACGTAAAACAGACGGGTTTTTTAAATCTTAACGATATATATTATATTGACATTGGTGCAAAGAAGCAATATCTTTTCATGTTTGTTTTATATTTCTATTCATTTTCCCAAGTATAAGATATAAACCTTTACGTACTTAATTTTTTGAAAATGCATGAACGACTATATCAAGTATCAAATAATTTTCCATAAGTGTTCTCCACATTATGTATAATATGCATGATTAGGCGTAGTTGTTTATTGTCTTTTTCCACAATTTTATTAGGACATATTTGTGAGATTGAATTGTTTGATACTTTCAATTGTACCTATATATTGTTTATTAATTTGATAACTTTGATTTTGCATTCGTAATTTTTAATCTTCGTTTAATCTCGGATACTATTAGGAACATGAATAATCTAAATATCACTCAGCTGTGGAAAAAATGTTAGAAATACAGCTTGTATCTTTATTTTGTACACTTGATAGCACACACGCGTTAAGATTCCATGACATCCGGACATAAATCTCGTAGCATGCTGCTTTAATGGTGTGTCACCGATTTTGCACGTTATTACAAATTGTTGCGTTATTGTGCAATCAATCGAACAGCGCAACAAGGGAATGCATTCCGATCTACACATCAGAAACAAAATTGTCATAATATTATCCCTTTAATTATTAAATCTGATGTTTCTAAATAATACAAAAACTAAAAGTCATTCGATTATCAAAAGCAGACGAAATGATTTGCATTTTCAGTGGTTTTATGGCAAAAAATTAATTTGAAGATTTTGACGAAGGCGTGATAATTATGAACTCAGTCACTTACTAATGACATATTCACAACAAAGATATAATACTTAATCACCTTTTCATAATAAACTGTACTTAGAATAATGATAGAAATGTTGCTTAGAAGAGTTAGTAACAGCTGAATTAATGGATAATAACTAAACATCATTTTACCAATAGAAGACAGACATGCATTATTGGCACTAGTACTGAACTCATTTTGCAAGTACTGGTACAGATACTGAATAACTAACACAAACTTTTAGATATTATTAAATATCTTTCTTAAGAAAATCTTGTTATAAAAAAATATATGAGAAATACAGCTTGTAGAGAAAACATTATGTGGAACGTAGTTTCAGCTTGTACGTGTATCTGTTAATAACAAGAAACTGGTTGAAGGACCTCCCAATGTGACAAGTCTTTAGATAAGTAAACCTCCTCAGCAGTCCATAAAGATGCTTTCTTGTATATTTTCCAGATATCATGGTATTGGATGGACAGAATAACAAATTTGTTTGGGTAATCTTTCAAGAGCTTGTTATTAAAAAAAATGTGAACAAAAGGCCAAATTCTCATTAATGCATAGAAGAAAATCAATTGTATCACATTTGACTAAAATGTAAAATATATGTCACATAAATAGTAAATTTGAAATTTAAACTGTAAAGCACTAAGAGTCGAGACGACAATTAGAATCATATTCTTCAATAAATGTGTTAAGCATGCTTTCTTCATAAGTGTGATATCTTCTAGAAATATTTCAAATATGACAGGTAAAATCTGCAATAGAAAAAAGGATCAAATAGAACCGTGAAATTTCATTGTTGGCATTGAGTCCGTCTACAGGCATTGTTTCCATTTATTTCTAATAAGGTAAATTATACAAATATTTAAAAGATTCATATCAGCAAATGATTCAGAATTACCAGTATCAGTTGCAACAATATTTATATGTTGCATACTGCCGAAAAAGACTTATACACAGTTGGTGCAAGAGTATATAAATGGAAGAACAACGGAACTCGTCCTTTTGAAGAAAACGCATTTTTGCACGATATTCGTGGATAGAAATAAACGCCATTGGCACGCCGTCAATGTATGAAAAATACACAGGGAAAGGCAAAACGCTGGTACGACGGCTATGAAAATGTTTACCGATCATATAGAAACTTCATCTTTTTCCGTTCCGGGAAGTCTTTAAAGGTCCCATTTTACAATTTTGTATCTGATACATAAGATACCTTCTTGTCTTTAGAAATGCATATTAAATAAAAAAAGAGACTGTATTACATTAAGTAGAGAAGTATGTAATCGAAACATTGTGCCTTCTATTGTTTAGTTTAAATATATTTTATTCATAATCATACACAGTACATAATATACAATCATTCAATATATACAATGATGAAATGGATTAGAACGAAAGATATAAATTCTTATATTGTTTGCAAAAATACCTCATTTAACATATAAAATAATCAAACTTAAGTAAATCATACGACACAGTCTGACGTATTCTGATCTAACATAAGTTATTTCTTGCCTGTAGATCTGATTGCCACCGTATTTGTTTCGTCTTCATTATGATTCAGATTCCCGGAAGGAAAAGAACTATTTTAGCCATACAATTACACCGTCCTTTACAGATAGGCATACAGATTTTAGTATTGGTTTCTAAGCAATAAAAATTAAAAACCGCATCGATTTTAAAAATAGCGAAAGTTCGTCGATGATTGGTTGCTTGAAAAGTCACGAGAAGGTGACCTGCTCTTGGTGCTCGTCAGATTCTAATGCACAGTGTTAATTAGGAGCTGAATTTAATTAAATAAGCTTACGACAGAATGTTATACGTATACTCGACATTTTTCTGTCAAAGGGTTGCAAATGTCACAGCTCAGTGTGGTTCAAAATAAATGATTCAACGTGATTGGATATTCTTTTTTAAATGTGGGTTGCTTATCATTATTTTTGCCGAAACAAAGGTTAAACATTATTCTTTTTTTAATTTAATTTAAATTCTTTGAGATATCAGCCATATCATATTACAAAAATCATGATTTTGAAAAAAGTTTTCAAAAAATAAAAATAAAGGAAAAGAAAATGATGAGCTTTTAGTTTTGCGTACAAGTTTAATTAATTCATTCCTGATTGTGCATACCTCAATTAGATCAGTTATGGGAAAATAATACACCTTAAACTGATCTCTTTAATAATCAAATAAGACATGACAACTTACAAAATTAGGAAACACATCTGCGGATATCTCTATATTCAAAATTTCACCATTTTCGTGTTAAATGTTTGAATTCTGCTTAAGTCGGTTCTAGGGGACATAGACGGTAACTGGCATTTTCCAGTACCGTCCCATGAACAGGCTAAATCAAACCGAGCCTGCAATATTTTCAATTTTGTTATATTGTGAATTATTTATAATACCATCTCGTCTGTGTTTTTGTCCATGTGACCTCCTGGTTCTGCTTGGTGTCTTGCTGGGATCCTTGCCGGTTGTTCTGTATTGGTGAGTTTTGTTCGGGAATGTAGTTTTTCATATCCACTTTTATTGTTTTTACTTACGATGCCAAACAGACTTACAGTTAATTCATTGGACTATTTCTATACCCATAAACGCTTTAAGTAATCAACTTAATTAGTTATAGATAATCAAAGAAGACACTGGTGACATGTTAAAAAGCGTTGTAATTCTTATAATAAAACTAAAATATTGAAAAACATGCCAAATTATATCAGAAGTTGCTGTCTATTGAAACACATATTCCATACATCAATAAATCTTTATATTGTCTTTATGTTGTTGTTTTTGGGGGGGGGGGGGGGTTGTTGGTTTTCTTCTTTTTGCTTTTTGTACGGGAAAGGCTTTTCCAGTCAGAATAATTAAATTATTTGAGAGAAGCAGAAAACTTTATACCTTTAATATGTTATACAGCTTTTGATAAACTGATAAATGACTTTTTTGAGGATATATCAAAAGTATGAAAATCAGTGTCAACTATGTACTTTGTACCATGTAGTTCAAATGATAAGGCACTTATACATATAGTGAAACGAGCACTAGATCGTGAGAAAATTAACCTTCTATGATTTATAAATTTTAGCTTTACCAATGTCATCCAATGATTTGTAAGTATCGCAGTTTAGCAGTTTGTCCGTTTCTGATAGGTGCCCTACTAGATGCCCAACTAGATGCCGTTTATGGTGATCTTGGTGTCACTTAGTGTCGGTAGCCACGTTTATTGAACAACGCACATTATCATGAATTCTCATAAAGTAGAATAAATGGCAGAGCAAAGATATTGACAATTATATTTCAAATTCATATGTTACATTTTATTGAGATTATTTATGAAGGTCAACAAAAAACACAACAACTCGCATGGCAGCCCGCACCGGTTTAAGTGGTATTAAATCTTCAACGAAGGATATAACTAGTCTGCAAATTCAATGAACCTATGGTACGGAGTTCATCCTTCTTTATCAAAAATTGATGAATATTTCTATTAACATTTTTTGAAACCAATTCCGGTGTTACAAAGTGCGACTTTTTATAATTAAACACTTATTCTTTTAAACATTATTCAAATGAAATTTATACGCATTTGAAAATCTCCTAGCTAATATAAAGAATAGAAAAATATTTTTCTTAATTGATAAGATATCATTATTTTAATTGTTGAAAATAGTGTTTAATCGATATATGTCTCATTACATATTTAGATTAGATATTTTCTTCGTATAGAATATCATTTGATCTTCTCCAAAAACAGAAAAACACAAACAACATAATATGCAGTTTAATTGGTTTTATGGCAAAACCTCTTTTTGAAGATTTCAGCGAAAAGATGTTAATTATTACCTCAGTCGCTTACAAAATACATATTTATAATAACTTTACATCAATAAATGTACTTTTCAAAATTTACTGTACTAAGAATAATGAGGGAAATTATGCTAAGCAGAGTCAGTGACAGCTAAGTTAATGAATAATAACTATAAATCATTTTATCACTAGGAGACGGACATGCATTAATGGTACTGCTATTATAATACGTACTGCACTCGTTTTACAAGTACTGGTACTGATTCTCAATAACTCACACAACCTTTTGCTAGTACTGGTATTAGTACTGGATTAATGCTCGAAAAAAGTGGTTTTGCAGAGTCGAGGTGGTACCTTGTTGTTTGAAAATATAATTTCAGCCGCTCAACAGGTTAGATTTTTTTGTTAT